CGCCTGTATCCGGTGAGACGACCATACGGCCCATTGTCATTGTGTGTTTGGGACATGCTACCCTTGGGTATTTTAATAATATGTATTGTACATGTTTTGTATAGAATGTGAAATTCTGCAGGTGATCGGTTAAACGTATATCGCGAATTGTCCTTTTCTTTTTTTTCCATAAGATATTACCAATACATACTATACGGATGGGCATTATGTTAGGTAAACGGGTCGACTCGGTTCGCTTGTATTAAAAGACTTAGGTGGTACACGCCGGCTGCACGGCGTCCGACCCTTTTAGCAAAAATATACAGGGTGTACTATAGCTAAGAGGACGCCATACCTAACCTAACCAGTATTTTCCCTTAAATAAGCAAACAAATATTTTGTCAATATTTTATCAAAACGTATTAGAAACGTTAAGGAATTTAATTAATTATCATTTTTCACCACAAAAAAAGCTATAACTAGGATAAACACTAATATTTTTTTCCAACAATACGTTAATATATTTTAATATTGAAATGCATTTGTCTATTAGTTTCTTTATAGGTATAGAATATACCGGGTGTGCATGTGCAAATTAAATATACCGCTAAGTTAATAATAATAATTACTTATTACATATTACTATTTAATGAAGTAATAAAAGAACTTTAAATATGTGCAAAAACTGTAAAAAATAAACTGTGTGCGAATCGAATTATACTTGCATAGTAAAAGCATGGTAAAATTATTAAGTAAAATTAAGTTTTGTGAAAACCACGTTGAAAAATTATTAATTTTCAGCTGATGTAGCTTTAATTTTATTAATACTTTGTTCGTTTGAAAGAGTTACCATTATGGGACACTAAATAATAACATAACAAAAATGTTTGATTACTATGTATCGATCAGTTACCAGTGGTAACAGTGGTTGAGTATTGGTTATAAGTTAAAAATATATTCAACATTACCTACTTGAACCTGGTGTGTCTGTAAAATTATGTTGTCCTTTCCTTAAGTGATTAAATTAACAGTATATAATAATTAACTTAAATGTAAACACAAATTCGTTTACAAAATAAACCACATATTTAATTTAAATAAAATAATTGAAATTTCCTTTTTTGTAGTACAACTTAAAATACTTTTAGGACTGTGGTATTAGATAAATTTAAAATATTGACTTTTATGTGAGTATACTGTTTAAAATACTTGTTAAGTTAAAAATGAAAGAGAACATTATGATGGGGTGAGATCAAGTAAGTATTTGCCAAATAAAATTTCATTTATGTCGACTAAAAAAATGTTGACTCGTAATTATTACTCGAAACAAACTATGTTAAATATAAATAAAAATCCCGTTTTTGCTATACGATAGTTAAGGTGCACTAAAATAGCTTGAGCAAAAAATTAAAATTTAATAAATATTAAAAAATGATTGTAAAAAAAAAATATTAAATAAACACTTTGAACCGTTCTATGCACAGTTATAGGATTTGTTAACTGTATACTTTACAGGACAAAATTGTTCAAAATTAAGTACATAATAGGTATTCTTTAAATCAATACATTGTCGAATAGATAATAAAATATGTATAAGTATACAATTCTACAATTATAGATTTTTATTTTCTTGAATGGCTATTTTTTTGCGGTGCCTATCATCCATTGAATGTAATAATAATAGGCTCACAGGTAGTAGAGATAGCGATAGCATACCAACGGTAGGTGGTTGACAATTTCAGAGTTTACCTAAAAATACTATTATTTTGGCAATGTTGTAATATTTTTAAAATGTTAGTAAAACATTACTTTTCTACTTGGGGCCAGTCAGCACAACAAAACAAGCTTACGGCGGCTATACTTAAGAGGCGGCGAATTTCTAACATAATAGGTTCTTTTTTTTAACAAATTGTGAAATTTTTTTTATGAAATTGTTTGGTAACCGAACAAGATATTATTATAGATTGAATTAAGAGGGCGTCGCACCGGTGATTTTCAGTGGTAAAAATATGTTTAAACAGACTGAAAATAACTTACTTAATTTTGGTTTTAAAGTAAGCGCCCATTATAAAATTAAAAAAAAAACAATATCCCGGAGGGCAAGACGATACGTTTTTTTAAATTAAGTTGTCATTTCTATTATTATTTTCTATACTTTTTAAAATAATTAATTAATTCTATTATCAAGGATCCATTCATTTTTTTTTGATACCTACAGTAATTGTTTGATACATTGAACACTATCAGGGACGGCGCCAAGGAGGGCCCTTCTCTCGCCCCCCCCCCCCAGATATTTTGCTAAATAGTATAATTTTAAATATTTGATTATTATTCCTAAAACCTAGATTTTGAATCACTGTATTTTTATATATACAAATTTAGTTATTACGGAAATTGTGAAAACAATTGTTGTTTTGATTTAAACCTGTTTATGTATACAAAATTAGTTATTAGTAATGACATTGCCACCAATTGTGACGTTTTTTTATCAATATATTATTTTGAGTGTTTTTGTAATCTGTTTTCAATAATCCGCCGCCCATATAATTATGTGTTTTGGTGTATATATAATATTTACGTTTGCGTGTGTTTTTTCTAAAAATTCAGTGTTTATTGACGGATTGTTTTGGTTTAGTAGAATGTAGGTATAACACGATAACTATAATCTCCACTGACTGGTTGTAGGGCGTTTTATATGCCTTCATTTTTACTTCGACTTTCATAGAGTACAATAAGAACTAATTGATGGCCGACAGGTAAAAATAACGCTTATTTAAAAAAGTTGCCTTACTTAAATTGTACACTTGTATAAATTGTCTCTTAATATGTAATAAATTCATATTTTATATTTTATACTATTTCACTGATAAATATTAAAGTCATTCACTGATAAATCATTATAATTGTTTTTTATTAACAGAAGTAGGTAAAATTATTGTGGTCGCCCCTCCAAAAAATTCACTTGGCCTTTCCCGTCCCCCTAGGAAAAAAAATCTGGCGCCGTGTCTGAACACTATATATGTATTATCGTATTATTGTTTATATCATACATGAATTCATCATTAAAATATATAATGCGCTTTTATATTATTATCACAGAATAAATGAAATAATAGTAGTAAATTTGAAATGTATAATATCTTATATTATTATTTATTACTATTTTATACGGTCTGGGCCCTTATGTAACATGTATATGCGTATTTGAACATTTGTAAAGTTAAATTAAACAAAAATGTATCTTATGTATATAATATAAATTTATTATTTAAAATATATGCTAACAAATATAAAATTACAATGGAGCAAATCTACTTTACCGGACACCTTTTTTTTCGATTTTTTTTTTTAATCGATAGTATTTTGCATGCTGATTACGAATCTGCAAAAATTTTGGGCCGCTCGCACGTACTTTGGGAGTTACAGACGTTTGAAGTTTGCAGATTTTGACTTACGCGCGCGCCCGGCAGGCCCCGTCGCCGGGCGGCCCCCGGGTACTTCGTTAGTCGGTTGCCGCTCTCGACATACCGGCCGTCTTTCGACGTCGCGGTCGTACTTTAGCGAACACCTTTTTTTTCGATTTTTTTATTGCCATATGATAGTGTTGTTTACGAATCTGAATTTAAAATCGGGCAGACTTCTTTTTTCAGTTAAGTTTTAATTAAATAAACTACTAACTATGCAAAACAACTCCCTACGCCTGCCGGCTCCGGGAGCCGTCTCGAGCCCCTTAGGGGCTCTTCGTTGGATGGGGGCTCACGCCCCCAAACCCCCAGAGGAAAAAATAGCTCGCCTAAAGGGAATAAAAAAAACTAACCTGATACTGCTCTGAAAGATATAAAAGAAATGTCTAAATGTTAGACGGTTAAAAATCAAGTGTCCGGTGGTGCTTACTTTACCGGGCTGGTTTAAAACAGAAAGTGTATGCTTTCTATATACTTAAGTGTAGGTATAGTGTATACAATCAGGCGGTTTATCAGAAGTTTAAAAGTGTAGAACTGAATAATAATATGTTTGTGTGTCCTGTGACGGTAACTTGGGAAACACTTAGTAAAAACATGAATTAAAAGTCTAGAGGTCAATCTGTATACATATTAAATAGGAAAAAGAGTGAATGCAGTGCTTATAAAACCGGTCAAAGAGCATAGAATGGCCAACGGTTAAATAAAATGTCTTGAGGCAAGTCTTTTAAGAATTTTAAAAACGTGATAATATAGTGATTTTGTGTAGTATAGGTCACACATGATCCGTGTATTCATTAAAAGTAAAATTGAAATGATAAGTAAAAAATTGAAGTATAATATGATATAGTACATATACTGTCTATACTATTTGACTGTTTTAGTTAATTATTCAATAATACCCATTTATACAAACGTGTTACTTACTTATTCATACTTTCAATTTGCCCATTAAAGGTTTTTAAATGGCTAACTAAAAATTTATCCTATTTAATTAAAATAATTAAAACAATGCCAAGTTAAAAAAAAAGTAAAATAATTAATAAAAGCCTGACAAAATTACGCCAACTTACAATTAGAATGATAGGATTTTAATTCTGTACAAATGTTTTAACTCTTTGGCCTTTTTTCCCAGGTTATTGTGGAAGTCAATTTTTGAATAACTGTTTCATTTACATAAAAAATACTAGGAAGTGAATACTGAACTACGGTATAATCTATAGTCTATAACCACTAATCAGTAACCGCTATTACTTTCTTACAAAAAAAAAAACTATTCATGATAAGAAATATATCAGATAAGAAAAACACAAAAAATTAAAATATTATTTAAACAATCATTTATCAAAAAAAAAAATTGGCAACAGATTTTGAAAAAACTGTATATTATGTTGTGGCCCCGTTCTAGATCTACCTATAGACTAATTTTCAGACTATAATCCTTAAAACTTCACCTAAAAAAATGAAATAAAGGGGAGGGTTTATTTATATTTGTTGATAATAATAATAATAATAATAATAATTTTACAAAAGTCAGTTTTATTATTTTTAAATTACACCACAATATAATATTAAATGGTGTTTTAACGTTTGTTTTAATGGCACATAATAAATAATAGCATAGTAAAATTTGTAATGGTATTAACACAGCTATAAATGGTTATAAATTATAATATTATATATAAAAAATAAAGTTTTTTTTTTTAAATCACATTTACGAACAATAACAATAATAGTGTCGAGTCAATATAAATAGGTATTAGGTATGTTTTGTCGTAAGCACCGTTGCATCTAAGACATTCCGAACAATTTCAATGCGTTAAACGCAGTGGCTAGAGCCACCTCGTCGGGTTTCTTGCCGATAAATCCGGCGATCAGTTCGACGAGTACGGGTAAAGAACACGGTTCGTTGCGGTGAAACGTACAATAGCGTTGCAAGAATCCAAGAGATCTGCAATCGAAAAAACAGTTAAGAATATAAGATAAATAGTAAAAGAGAAAACATTATTGAAGTTGTTACCGATTCGCATAAGGTAATAATTAGAGGGCAATTTTTTTTTTTTTTACTTCAATCAGAAACACAATAACAAGTAAATACGAGATAAATATTTAAAAATTGGTGTTACCTTTGAGTGAGACTAGATTTTACAGTTTCCGATAGGGTAGCTGCTCGTGCGTTCGGATACATGAATGGTGAATCCGTTTGTACTAGTATTCGGTCTAATGTTAATGTACCGTCATTTAAAAGTTTCTTTATACCGTTTCCTGAACTGTCTTTGCACAGTCCGCCTGTAAAAATAGTTAAATGCAAAAAATCATACTAGTATTATGTCTTTGCCGATTGAATAAAAAACATGCTAAAAGCACGACGTGGGAAAAAATGCCTTGATAATATTTACACATTTTTTACCTCAAAATTAGTCGAATTAATTTTGACTGTTCAGTCGATAATTATTTATCGTGATTTTGGTTATTTTTTTTTTAGATATCAAATCAAACACAAGCTTCACTTTATTTTCTTGGAAATAAATGTACAATTTTTAATTTCTCTTAAGATATCAAATTAAGGTAACTTTGTTTTTTTTTTTCTTAGCAATATTATAAATTTCTAAATTGACCGGTCAGTGCTTTTTTCAGTAGATTATTCTCAACTTAAGAAAATAATAAAATACATATGGCGTATGAACGTTTCTCCACACAAGGGGTAGGGTGGAACTTTATCTTTTATTTCACTCTTTTAGGACCTTTAGTTTAAGTTCAGTTGAAAGAGATTTCAGTAAATCTTAATGACTTGTGATTTCTCCATTTGGCTATCTTATTATATATTTTTATACATTAAAAACTAATACAAATTATACTTTTTTTTTCTAAAGGTTTTGTTAAAATTTTTCATTTTGATTGAGGTTTATTGCTATAATTATTACTCAAAATGAATGATTGAAATACTAAAAAAAAAATACCTTACTACTGGATATGACTACCGTTTGAAAATAGCTCCAGTAAAAAATGATTATTAAAAAAAAAATTAATTTATTATTTAAAGAACTAATTTTTACACTTATAACAATTTAAAACGAAAAAAGATTTTTGAAATTTAATTTGTTTAAATTATTATCACACTCAAATTTTGCAGTTAGTATATTTAAATGTAATTTTGTGAACCAAAAAAAAAAAAATCCAAAATATTAAGAAACAAATATAAAATTCTTTTTTCGAATAATTTAAAAAAAAAAGTATTAAGGCCCATAATTACGTTATAAAATAAAATTACTACAAATGTTTTTTTCGACTACAAGTCGGAAAAGTTATTCATAAAAACTACTATTTATTCATATTAGATTATTTTAAATAATTTCCTATATCAAAATATATTTGTTTTATTAATAAGTTCTAATTTACTTCCTTTGTTATTTTCTAAAATATGATATCTATTTGTACTTACATAAAAATTAATCAAGTTAACAATAAAATACTTATTTAAGTACACTTTTGTATTTTTTATTTGAATTTAACTAATTAAATAGTAAAATGTTCTTACTAATAAAATTGTTTTCTAAACCCTAAAAGGAAATTTATCCAAATCGATGAATTCCTTTTTTATCCGATATTAGTGTTCTACACTGTTGAAAGGTTTGCTTAAAAGATATTTGTTTCGAATGTTATCGTTTATAATGTTTTTATTTTACTGCGTTTTACTTATTGCACAATTAAATAACTTGACCATCAAGTAAAATTTATTTATAATTTTAATAGAAATGTTCATTTAATAAACTGATCTTTTATTATGTATTTCTTCGACTTTCGACGTTATTAGCATGAAATAGATAGATAAAAGTCCGAATGAAGCGTTCCCTTAAATGCGTTTTTTTTTTACTAAGGTTTTATCATTATTACCAACCGGTAATTCCTATATACATTCCGAAATTGATATAGTCTGTGGCCTCTTCAGACGAGCCAGTGAATGAGTGCATTATAGCGATCGGCAGTCCGGCAGAATATTTTTTCAGTATAAGAAAGAAATCTTCGTGGGCTCCTTTTTGATGCAACATAATCGGCTTTTTAAGTTCCACCGCCAGCGATACCTGAAAAATTTCAATTGGCAATAATTTTGTGATTTTAAATGAAAAAATAATATTAATGTGCACATAGTAAATTTGTACTAGGCCGAACATATTGTTCTACACCAACCTGAATCCTTTGGTTTGCCAAAAAAAAAAAATTAAATCCAAACAAATTATTATCGTTTGTATGTGGAAATATTATTTTATCAAGGGATAATATCACTAATAAAATATATATAGTATTTGTTTATTACCTGCAGTTCAAACACTTTTCTCTGCGTGTCGGGCGTCGAAAAATCTTTGTTGTAATCCAATCCACATATTCCGATGGCTACACATTCTGTGTTTTTGGCAATGTCTTTGAGCTCGTCGTAGTATCCGTCTTCCCAAGATTTCGCTTCGTGCGGATGAATACCTGTTATACGAATAACGACAGGTGTTTTTTTATTAAATGGCAATAAATCGTTAAGTTACAGTCAATTCGGATATTATACTTTATTGTTGTTTGTATGCAAATTTTTTTTTTTTTTTTAAATTAACTTTTAAGAGAAAACTATTTTTTTGCTCAACTAACTTTTAACAAATGCAATTTTACGTTTTTTTTTATCGTTTTTTAAAAAGTTAGTTTAAAGTAACTTAACTAAGTTGTTTTTTTTTAAATTCTAAATAAACTAGCAAAAAAATATAATGAACTCTGTCCAACTTTGAAAATAAGTATTACCAATTTTAAGATTTTTATAGATTTCCATAAATTATATTATGTTCTAAAATATATTTTTTTAGGCGTTTGATGTACTTTTTTTTTTAATTGTCCATCAATACAATTTTTTTTTAAATTGTCTATTTTTTCTATTGACAATCAGTGACATATTATATAATGTTTAATTTTGCATTTACCTGCTGTAGAGTACAAAGCACCCGGATAAATTCTCGCCAATCTCAGAGCTTCTTTACTCGTTCTCAGCGAAGTACAAGGAACTATAATTTTTTGAACACCTATGCAAAACAGAGTAGAAAACAAAATTTAATTACGCTCAATTATATAGATACAGAATGTGTTTCCAATAATTACTACCCTAGAGGAAACTAGAGACATTTTTTTTTTTACATTAAATTTATGACAAAAACTAACCCGAGTCTTTTGCTCGTTGCAAGACCGGTTCCAAGTCTCGTGTAAATTTCTTGTTGACCATGTTGGCGCCGGCATCGATCAGCAAGTAATTGTCGTAGTTTTCTTTGAACGGATCGATCACTTCAGCATTGTTGTCAGGTCGACAAGTCATTGTTTTTTTTTTTTTTTCGTCTACGAGTCTTGTCGAATTATAAAAAATAAATAATAGCGGAAAGAAAAAAAACTAACGCAATTCGACTACTGTAAGCACCTATGACCTAACTTAATGGTCTACTACAAACTGATTAACTCAATAATACAGTACTAAACTACTAAGTATCATAATGATTATTAATTCTACCTGCAACAAAGACAGACCGATATCAGTCGTATTATCATTGTATTATTATGTATTAACAGCAATTATTAACATACCAAACCCGAACAATTATCTAAGTGAAAAAAATTAAAAAAACAGCAGTTGCCACTTGCCACTTGCCACCAACAGCTGCTGCTGTTGCTGCTGTGGGTTCAGTTGACAGGCCGAAACGTTGTCGTTATCAGTAATTTATTGTTGATAAGAAAATATCGTACGACAGCTGGTGTAAACACAACGGGTAAGTCGTGGACTCGCGTTATCGACACGTCGAACATGGCCGCCGGTATTGTCCTCCTGTGTACATTAACACGCGGTCGGCGGCCATTTCGCGGTTATCACGACGAGGCGGACATACCTATCGTTTTTTCTCGCCGCCGAACTTTCGTGGTCGTCGACGTCGACGAGCGTGGAAGAAAAAAGCACACAAATCGCAATAATAATTATTATAATAATAATATGTCTCACCGCGATACGATTATTATTATTATTCTTATTGTTTAACTGGTTTTTATTTTGATTTTTTCGACTACGACACGTCTCGTAAGTCCAATAACAACAACAAACAATTTTTTTATTATTATTCCATTCTCATTACGAGGAGGGGTCGAAACGTCGTGTAACGACAACGGTATGCACGTCGATATCGATTGCACGTTTTTGGTCGATAAATATTGTTTCGTTTAAATAATATATTGAAACGACTCGTTAATTTTCCAGACGTCACTGGCCGACGGACTTTTGGCCGGACGAGTTTTGCGTTGTTATTCGTTTCGGATTAAATTCGAAAATGATTGCCAAAAACAATCGATGGCGACCAACAATCGATAGTAGGCCGTGACGATGATAATGGCAAAATATTATGTGAAATTGCGTTGTTGATAAGTCCGAAACGCTCCAAAGTGAAATTTTTATTTGTTATTAGTTTTGATTTCCGGGTTAGACTTTAGTAGAATACATTATTAGTAGAGAAGACAATTAGAACAATAGTAGCGTCAGTAGTTGTTCATTTAGTTGTACCTGTGTATTATACTAATATAAGTTTTCCGTTATATACATTGTTAAATTGTTGGCAAATAGAACAAAAAAAAAAGTAAGTGGTTTCGAATAATTTTTTTTTACATACCTGTATATATAATAAATAAACAACGCGCAAATCTAGGCAATGACTAATAATTGCTATTATTACATTATCGACGACGCTTTTACTTTAACCGTAATAGCACGTTTGGTTAACTATGTAATTATCGTATGTCGTTTGCTTATGTAACGATAATAATACTAGTGGTGTGTTTAGTTGACTGTTGTTTGCAGTGTTCCTTCGATTGTATAATACGTCAGGACTGTATAGGTATGTTACATTATTTTTTAGTGATAAAAAAACCACAGAAATTACGTTTAAATTTGGTTAGTACAGAAAAATATCTGTAGCGTGCGATGTCGTAAAGTAAGGTGTTTGAATATTAAATAAATCAAACTCCAAAATCAACACTCAATTGTTTTGTTTAGCACTTAGACAATTTCAATAAAGTGAAAAGTAAAATTTTACACAGGCCCTGATGAACTAGATTCAACTCTGGCAAGAGCTGCTATGTATGTCGTTCTCACTAGTTAAGCTAAAAATTAAGACGCGCAACTTAGCAATGCTGAAATTATAAGCTTAGCTCTGTTTAAATGTTTAAGCCAGGTGGCCATAACATAAGTTATAAATTCATTGTAATTTATAAATAAATTAAGTTTAATTAACTCGGTAAATAAATAAAATATTGTAAGAAGTAACTTTTTACATAGTTTCTAATTTTTTAATTCAAGCATTTCAATACTGAGGTAAGACAATTATCAATAAAATACTTTTGTACTTTTTGAAGTATAACAATTACCGAAATTCGTAGAGTTAAACTGATTGTGTATGTTTGACCAAATTCAAACCTGGCCAGTTTTTGTTTAAATAACAAAGAAAGTGTACGATCATTTTTATAAGTAGTTTTACTATAAAATCTTTTTAATCAATTTTTTTTTCTTCAAAATAAATTCTCTTCTTTAAAACTGACAAAATAAATCAGTTCTTTTCACACTTAATATATTATAATTGGAATAACGTTAATAATCTAAATCGGAATTAGGTTAAAAAAAATTAACTTGAAATAAACAATTAACTGTTGTATGGTTGGAGAAGGGAGTGGCCGAGTGGGTATGGCGGCAGTGTGCTAGCGCTCTCTGTCTTTTTAAAATGTATTTATGTTATTAACATTAGGTTGCAATAACTAAATTTAATCGCTTGATATAGTTTTAATATTAATTTTATTTAAATTGTTAAAGTGTGAACATTGAATAACATTTTTTTTTTTTTTTTTATACAGATTCGTCCGTCAGTACTTACACATACATACGAAACAAATAACTGTTGATAATGTCGACTCCGGCGCGGCGTAGATTGATGAGAGACTTCAAAAAATTACAAGAAGACCCGCCAGCCGGTATTAGCGGCACTCCAACAGACAACAATATTATGCTGTGGAAAGCTGTGATATTCGGACCCCACGACACGCCGTTCGAAGACGGCACGTTCAAATTAACAATAGAATTCACCGAAGAATACCCAAATAAGCCGCCGACCGTCAGGTTCGTTTCGAAGATGTTCCACCCAAACGTCTACGCCGACGGCGGCATTTGCTTAGACATACTGCAAAATCGTTGGAGTCCTACTTACGACGTGGCCGCCATTTTGACGTCCATACAGTCGCTGCTCAGCGATCCCAACCCCAACTCGCCGGCCAACTCCATGGCTGCGCAGTTGTACAAAGAAAATCGCCGTGAGTACGAGAAACGAGTGAAGTCGTGCGTCGAGCAAAGCTTTATCGATTAACGACAACATTAAGTACTAGTCTTGTCGGTATTTCAATGAGAAAAATCCTCCATTGTACGTGTGTTTCTTTAAAAATAAGCAAAATTGTTAAAATTTAACGCTGCGATTTATTTTTAACAAATAATATATTGTGTAAAACAAAAAGAAGAATCATTGTTTACTTTGAATTTCACGCCTCGTAGATTTAATAGACATTAATATAAACGAAGATGTTTAATAATTATAATTATTACTTCATAGACATTATTATGTATATAATTTACCAATAAGTGATTATTTTTTTTTTTTATATATAATTTTTTTAAATTTGTTTTTTTTTTTTGCTTAATATAAAACATAAGATATATTATTTTACGCATCTAAATTTCAAATTGTGTTCTCTTGATAATTACGACTTAACGTTTAAATTGTACAACAATATAATAATATTTGAGTTATCAGCCAATATTATCTTTGAATTTGTTTTCCTCTTACAAACTTGGCTCATGTATTGGTTTTTACTGTAAATTCAATGATCGTATACCACAGACTATATTCATATAGCTTGTGGTATTACGTCAACAATTGATCATGTACGGTGGATAAATAGCAAGTGAAAAATTGTACAATTTTTTTAAAATTATAATAACTTACTCGTCGAGTTAAAAAGGTTATTCAACTATAGTATGATCGTTACAATTTTAATTTCTATCTAACCACAGTTTTTTTGAGCCTATAAAATGATGTATTCGAGAGAAATTATTTTAATTTAAAAATATGATTATGTATGAATTTTTTATCTACTGACAACTTTGACTGGTAGATTGTGTGAAATTAATAATGTAAAACAATTACCAGATTACTACTATTTAACGTCGTACATTGAATCGACAATAAATATCAACAAAAATTGCAATCAAAATATAACGGTATTAACAGTGGTAACAATATTACGTTATATTAAGAATATTATTGTTTTATAAATTTCTTTTTTCTTTAAAATAACTTCCGAATAAACGTTTTGATGGTCAAATGTAGATACTATTAAATAAAAAAACTGGTCTCTCAGCAAAAAATACTATATTTTGGAATATTGTATAAAATACTATAGTATTTTATACAATAAAATAAAAATTTTTACTATTTATAACAAATGTATGGGTTTTAACCCTTAATTTTTTTAGAAATAATAATATAAAATGTCGATAAAAATTTAAATAAAAAACTTTAGTTTGTATAAACTGGACCCATTTTTAACAGTGTGGACAGAGATGACAATTCTATGGTACAAATTGTTTGTAATCGCATTTCTCCTAAATAAAAGAAAATTTGCTAGTTTTTTTGAATAAATTGTTTTAGAACCATAGTAAATATACCTTAAGTCTACAATTTTACAGGCAATAAACTGGCACTAATTTTATTAAAACTTGGCTAAATAATGTTAGAACAAAATTATTGTTTCAATTTTTTGTTTAAATGACATTATTTAACGCGCCGAATAATTGTTTTCTTTTGAAATAAATTTGTATTGACTGATTAAAACAAGATAAACTATTTTTTAAATAACTTTTTTTTGGAAATTCAAATAATATCTTATTTATTATATTATTATTATTTTTTTTTTTTATATAGCCTTTATTATAAATTTAACAGCTCAACAATTACACAGATTAGATATAGTATATACAAACTAAAATAATAATAGAGAGAGAAAAAAAAAATAAAATATATACAAAAATTACACAATGTTAAAATAGCTTTACATACAATTATATATGAAACCCAGCATCAAGGATGAATTTGAGGATGGATTGGTTGATAGGAACAGAGCGGGAGTTAAGAATTTTATAGGAGTTAGGGACATTAATTCCCAAAGAGGATAGGAGGTTAAAAAGGATATCTCTATGGGGAGAGAGAGTGGGACAATGAAAAAGGAGATGGGAAAAATCACTGATGGCTGGTAAATCATGCAAAGTACAATGAGGAGAGGAGTTCAAAGAGATAAGAAAAGAGAAAGCGGGAAGAAGGTTGTGTCCAAATCTTAAACGGGAAAAGGAAGAGATTTATTTGCGTGTGAGATTGAGGCCATGAAACCAGGGCCTGCGAGGGATAATAGGGCAGATTGAGCGATGCCAAGAGGAAAAGTTAGGAGGTAGGGAGGACCATTTGTCCAGCCAAGCTTGAAATATAGTTTTATTTAAACCTGGAAGGAAGTCAGAAAAAGGAGTGGTTAGGCCTTGAGGCAAAATGAAGGAAGCAGTGGAAATTTATTATATTATATTATATATTATTGAGTGCTAAATTGACTGACATATGTTTATTATTTTGTTACGTTTAAAATACTATAATTTGAAAAATAAGAAGGAGCTGGTTCATTTTTTTAATGATAAACTAAAAATACCTTCGCAATTAAGCTAAAAAAAAAATGTTGTATGCAGCTACTGTACTACTTAATATTAGAGTAAAGTGTATGTTTATTTTTATTGAATTATTATAGTAGTATTTGATACGTATGATAAAATTCGAATAATTTAAATACAAGAACAATTAATAGCAACAGTTTTCAGCAGTATTTTCTAATTTCTACGTTAATCTAATGTTTACGAATTGGAAATTGTTTAGAATATTTGCCTTATCAGTTTGCTACTGATAAGAAATGTTATGATCAAATAATAACGTAGGTATGCTGGCATTTTACATTAACCACGAAATGGCCGCCGGGCGGCTATGCGTTTCTTACAGCAGAATACCGGCGGCCATTTCGTGAACATTGATGACATAAGTTGCCGACGTACCCGTGTGTTATGAACCGCCAACCTGCTTTAATTTGCCCAAAACAAAGGTTGCCTCCGTGGTTACCGATAACTACCCTGGTTGTGGTTATCTCCTGCTGTCCAACGATTTACCTCCACCACCAAATTTATAAAAATCAAAAGAACTGTAGTTTTTTTTTAATGCTAATTTTTCATTACAATAATTTTTAATTACCCTTGTTTCTATAATATTGCCTAAAAGAAACTCTTTAAATCCCCCAATTACAATTTATGCCTAAAAAATAATATGGTAGAAAGAGAGGTGAGGGGCGTTCTTTAGCAATGTCGGCTAGTGGAAGCTGCCAAGTACCCTAAAGCAAACAAATACTATAAAATATGATTTATTTATTTATACATATATATAACATTTATATAGAATTTTCCTAAAGGGTTGTGAAGTATATTAAGAAAAAATAACAAATAAATGTAATGTTTTTTGTGTTAAAGGTCGGTATAATGGCTGCATTTTATTTTTTAGGCCAAATTGTGTTTAGTACAAATTACCGTTTCGCCGTTGATAACATATGATAACTATGTTTTTTTTTTTTGTCAAGAAAACTCGAACCCGCCAGTTTCATTGTGGCTTGTTTTTGTTGTCATCGTTCGATAAAAGAAATTATAAAATATACGTACTTGTTAAATTTCACAGTATTTTACACGCAGGTTGACATCGGTATAAAAAAAAATAATAATAATTTATAATCGTTTCGTTTGTAATTTAAAATCTGCCGAGGAATCGCCAATAATCCATCGTTGTTCGCCGTAGATGAAAGTATTCGAACACTGCAATCGCATTGTAAGTTATTTTATAATTATTTGTAACTATAAATTGTGTCCACCTTTAATGCTATTAGACTAGTGCAAATTTTCGCAATTATTATCATGACCTATAAACGTTCGGTGGTATGTGTGTTTTACCATATATTTATTAAATTTTTATGATTTTAAAAACAAAAAGTGAAATTTCCAACTACCTACACACGTTGCACAATCAATTTTAACACTAAAAATCAACTTTTCGGCTCTAGGGTCACGTGGACCTGGTCGCCCCCTCAAAACAATGTTGTAAATCTCTGTTTTTTCAAAATTCAATTTTTATATATCTCAACGAAAATCAGGATTTGAAAATCTTGTTTTTGGATTACAATAACCTTAAAATTTTGGTATTATCAGGCTAGTCGCTTAAACAGTCAGATCTCGGTGATTTAGTCGTTTTCGTTCTTAAGAAGGCCATTGTAAAATTAGTCCGCCACATCGGGCTTGCTTAAAACTTGTATCGTAATTTTGTTATTCGTCTTGACAAAAGAACTGATAATGTTTTGACGACGGTCATACTGTGGTGATCCAGATTGTTTGCAAACCGTAATAGACACGTTCTCTTTTGGACAAAATATCAAAATCCGATCAGTAGCTGCTTTACATAAATCCTGATAACCTACAAACCTATTAAAAACGCTGTTTATGAAAAGTAATTGCGAGATCACTACTTGGGTGTCATTTTTTAAATTATATATATAAAATAATTTATTATTTCACACAACATGTGTTTAGACATTTGTGTCTTTCTACAATCATACCAAACATTGGCCATCTCTAAAAACCTGCCTTTCTTGTCTCTGATTTCGATCGCTTTAGCAAAGGGCTCGAATGTAGGTCATGTTTTGTACTTACTACCGTAAGGATAAGATAAATGTGTATTTGGTGGTATTGATTTTATAACAGACAGACATGATAGGCTGTAATTATTCCTGGGGACCAAACAAACTACTTTATGACCACCATGGTGCGCTAGTGGTGTTAATACAAAATCAATAAGTCCCACATTTGTGTGAGTGAATGCTTGAGTAGTATTTCTTTATCTGCCAGTTTTGTGTATTTGTTTGTTTATATTGTATACTTTTATTTCTGTAATTCTCAAAAATTCTTTTTTCTGATTTCTTATAATGGCAGACATATTGAGCAGACTGAGAAAACCTACCATGGAACAATATATTGTGAGCAGTAATAGCGCACTGGAGCTGAAACTCGGTAACTAAAGTTTAGACATTATCGAATTTGGTGTATTCATTTACGTACTATTTTATAATATTTGATTTTTAGTGCGTAAAGCCGGTGATATCAATGATCCGAAATTATCATTTTATCCCGATATGACTTACCAAGTGTTTGGAAACATGTGAGTATCTTTTTTCTATCTTAAGCTAATTTTATTTTAATTATATCTGGTAATGTTCTTGTATCTTTAATTATTTTAACGGTCGATGTGCTTTTTCTTGAATCGTTAGATACTTATTAAGATTATTTCAGGGAAAAAATATTTGGCTACAAAGATCTCGTCGTGAAGATGTATTACACCGCTTGTACTCTGAAGCTTTACATTGGAATTGACTATTCGTCTAAAGTAGAACCAGAAAAGTTTGACGTGCACGTAAGAGATAAAATAGTGAAAATTACCTTCGGCCATTTTTAATTACGATATTTACATTTCAGCCCGACGACATAATGGAGAAATTGAAGGAGTACGTCTCTCCGGAGTTCATCACCAATTTGGACGTTTTCGAAAAATGTTTGGAGAATGAATCCTCGTTCACGCCTTATGGAAACTTACTCAACAAGTTTGCCCTTGGTAAGTTGATGAGCTAATTAACAGTGTTGTGTTTGAACGTCGAGAAATAATTTCTTTCAATATTAGATGCCGGTGAGGGTGAAGCACAGTATGAAGTTTATGCGATAGAAGACGAAAATGCTTCTTTCAACGAGTACTTTAATCAGCTGCAGACGTTTGTTTTGTGGTACATCGACGCGGCAAATTTCATAGACTTTGACGATTCCAAGTGGAAAGTTTTCATCATGTAAGCAGTGTTATAAAATTATAAAGTTTACTGTATTGTATCGTTGAATAGCACTACTTGATGAGGCGCTAAATAGAAAATTTTTAAGTAGTCACAAATCCAACGAGTTAATGGTTTGCCTTACTACAATGTTTGTTAACAACAAAGACCTATTTATCCGAAAAAATCAGTTTTAAAAGTTTAAATTTAGAAAGATTTGTCTCGAAGTTAGCTATAGTTTGAAATAACGTCACAAAAATTGCTTCGACCATTGAGAAAATATTTAAAGACTAAAATAATAATGTTTAATAACATATTATAAATTTAAAACAATTTTTATTTTTAAAACATAATACATTTTACAATAAAAACATCATAAGTAACCAATGTAATGAAATCTTCATCGCAAATCTTTTGACAGTGTAAAATACTAATTTTTGAAAAAAATAATATAAATTTGGAAAAATTATTTTTTGAAGTCTTAGAACACATTTTTCTTGTTTTTATTTAAACACCTTTTTTTGGAATAAAAATTCGTTTATTTATTTATAATTAAAATCAAAATTCTACTAACATACAAGTGTGATTTTATTTTATCGAGTTTAGATGAAAAAAAAATACCCACAAAAGTATTCTTAAATAACATTTTAATTAACTCAAATTGATTTGTTTGTAACTGCAAAAAAAACAATAATAGAAAATGATAAACAAAATTAATTTGTATTTAGAAAATTATCTGAAACAATAATTTATGTTTTAAAAAATTAAATTAAATTTAAATGAATAAAATATTTGAGACTACAAGTAATAATTATTTTTAATAAATTGAAGTCCTAGTTTCTATATATTTTTTAAATAGTTAAATTATTTAAAACAGTTATTACAAATTTAATTCATTTAAAAAGTTATTTTATGCCTTAAATAAACATTTAAAATATTTTATCATTTGCTAATAATATTGTTAGCTCTGTTCAAATATTTGGCCTCTGGTTTTAAAATATATTTCTAGCATGTTTTTTTTTTCTACTGAATTTTGATCTTATTTTCATTGTTTAATTGTTATACTATTTGACATTTAACAGAGAGCTAAAAAAGATATTTTTTGTTTTTTATTAACAAAAAAAATACGAGCTGATTTCAATTAAAATTTGTTTGAAAATATTTTATAAATAAAATAAAATTGTACGTTTTTGACAAATATTTTAACCGTTCAATAAGTAAAGTACAATAAAAATGATAATAAAAAACGTATTATTAACATATAATAATAATAGTCATTATCTAAACTATTACAGAAAGCTAAAAAAGGCTTAATCATTTTCTTAAATCAGATATTTCTATTTTATTTTTTTCATTTATTAGCTTATTAAAAATAAAAACCCCAAACCGATTCTGACAGCGATTTTAAATTGAGCAGAAAAATCATTACAAAAAATTCATAATTAATCCAAATTTTAGAATTAAAACTATTAATACATTTTCTCAGCTTTAAATGTGGCTAAAGTTACGGTACGTAAATTAGAATAAATATTATTTTAATACTACTATCTCCAACATAAATAGATATCTAAACTTCGTTGATAGTTGATAAAGCTTTTAAAAAGAAAAGAAATGTGTATTTTTAGTTTAAAAAAAAATGTGTTGTATGTTTATGTATTTAAATCTGTTGTTACAAAAATAATTGGTAGGAAGAGTAGCCGTGTGCCCGAGTCGGTAACTTTGTTTGTCGGAGTAGGCAGCAATGGCTAATAAAAAAAAAACTGATACTGATATGTTTAAATATTTTTAACTTAACGTTTATCAAAATTCTGAAAAAAAACTGTGAAATATTTTTCATTTTGTGTTTGTTTCCAGGTATGAACTGTTCAAAAATGATAACGGTGATCAGTGTTACACTCCGGTCGGATACTGTACTATTTATGAGTATTACGCTTATCCCGATAAGGTCCGTCCGAGAATCAGTCAAGTGTTGATACTACCTCCTTTCCAACGCAAAGGTCTTTGCGCAAAGCTTTTGAACTCGGTGTACAAACATTATGCTACAAAATCGAACGTCATTGATATTACCGGTAATGATTAATGATGAAATGTTTTAAAAAAAGTCAGATTTTTAAAAAACTTCCGAAAGAAATTCAAATTAATTTTATAAACCGAGATACATTTAAGAGCTACGAGTAAGAGTTTAAAAAAAAAAAATCATATATCATGTCGTTGTATTCGAGCTTTCATCGGAAGTCTTTTGATTTTGACTTGTTATCCTAATCGTACATATTTACACGACAAACGTTCTATCGTAATTTGTATTTTAATAGTGGAAAGTCCAAATGATGAATTTCAACTCGTTCGGGATTTTGTCGACGCTACCAATTTCAATCTACTCGAAAAGTTTAATAAAGAAAGTTTGAAGAGCATGCGCCACAAAGAAATGGTCGAAGAATTTAAAAACCGCTACAAAATCAATCCGGTAAATATGGTCTAGTCGATAAAAAAAATACTATTTTTAATTTGGGGAGCTTATATACGGTTTTACTTATGTATTGGGTTAGTTTCATTGCCGAACACATTAATTGGACCTTGTCGTAAAAATGTACTTTTTATAATTAATGATACTTTTGTTACCCATTAAGACTGTTATAAAATATAGTAAATATATTGAAAAATATTTTAGATATTCGGGTTTTTTTTTTTTCGATGAATTTGTGTCGTGCAAAGGAAAATATATATTAGTTTTAATATAATTAAAATGTGTATTTTTTGTTATTCTTAGAAACAATTGCGTCGCGTTTTAGAGATAGTACTACTGAAATATACCAACCGTTTTGATGCCGAAGATTATGAAAAGTATAAAAAATTTGTGAAAGCCCGATTGAATTGGCCTCTTAAGGTAAACTTGGTTTTTTTTTTTGACAGATGTTGGTTTTAATTTTTTTTTTTTGTAAATGGCCTCTTTAATTTTTTTTTTTTTTACAGAGGAAACCGACAAAACTGATGTTAGCCATGCCAGCCGGAGAAGCAGATAAAATCCTGAAAGCCGAAGCCGCCGACAAACTAGACGAAATCGATATTGAGTACAAGGAACTGGAACAGTTCTACGATAAAGTGATCAAAAGGCTGGAAACTAATTGTTCGGTTTAACCGTTCAAAAGTTTCACATCGAGGAGTTTCGATAATTATACTGCTTACAAAAAAAATCATCCCCTGTTTTTTACATTCGTTTCCAATAAAAAAAAAAATCTCTATATAAAATACAATTTATATAATGTGCGTGTTCCTTCTATCGTGTGTCGGGCTTATGCCGCCTGCGATCATAGAATGTAAATTTTGTATCATTTGAATTCCTTTTTTTTTTTTTTTTGTAATAATAAAATAGTTTTTAATTTAATTTACTCTTATTGATTAAAATAAAAATAAAGTTAATATTTTAGCACTAATTGGTCGCGTATTAAGAAACGTTTACAAAAATGTTTTTGTTTTGTATTTAAATGACGTTTCTTTTTCGTTGGTCAAATATTATAACTTTTATTAATTATACTATTGATGTGTACTTTTCCTATTAGTTTTTAACGTATTGTAAAAGAAAAAAAATACATTTACACTACAGTTATTTTATTTTATCTAGTTAAAAAAAAATGACCAATACTATTCGATAATCTTATTGCGCGACATTCATAAAGAGTTGTTGTTTAATAATTAATTGTTTCTCAAAATTTAAAATGCATTCAAAGTTTGAATTTTATTAAACTTACCTAACGACTTTCTGTAATATTTTTTTTTGACCAAATTTCCTTATCGAAAAACTATTAAACAAAAAGTCACCATTGACCGCTTGAACAATATGTAAGCGCTTTACAGTCGAAGGCTTATAGAATTGTTACTTTTTGAGAAATGTCTGTTTAGATAGGTAAATCTTAATTTTGGATACCGTCTTTTAGAATTATAATAGTTATTAAAAGTGATAAAATCATATTCGACTAAAAAAGACGGTGAAAACTATTAAATAAAGGTTTAGAAATTTTGAATTTTTCTTGGTAAAAAACAAGCTTTTGGTGACAGTTATTTCGGTTATGTGCCAGAGCTAAGACATGAAAATGTCAATAAAAAACGTGGACAGATTTTTGAAAATATTTTAATTTTTAAAGATGTACTCGTTAAATTTACACATCTACTTTTCGGACTAGATACTAAAAATTCTTTTTTTTTTCCTAAGTAACCGCTAACCTAGGATGGAACTTTTTACACACTTCCTACCAACAGCATCGTTTATTAGCATCATTCACTACAAAATATTAGAGTTAAAAAAATCCCGTTTTCTTCTTAGCGAGGCGGGTTCACAATAAATTTACTTAGGTAAATCTAGTTATGATATGTACATTTTCTTGATTGTTTAAACTTATAATAGTACACATTTTATACCGCTGGAGACCGTGGAAGCTGAGCGTTATCAATTTTTTTACCTTTATTTAAATAAAAAACTAATTGCGTTATTAAAAGAAACTCGTCGAGGCGACACAGTGAAGTTCTGAACTTTCAGATGATATAAGTAGGCAACTTTCCTATGAGACCATTTTTGGTAGAGCTGTATATAGTGTATCGAAAAAGCATTGTACTAAATATTATGACAATAATGTGCTTAGAAATGTATTTTTAGATTAGAGTTGGTCGTCTGTCTACAATAACTTATTTCCAGTCACCCGTAATTAACAATAAAATTTAAATATTTTCAAATACCTGTTGACTGTTGGTTCACTCACTACGTTTTTTGCATTCTAGTAGAAAAATGGTTTTATTTAATTTCTGGTCGGCTTACTCGTGTAGCAGGTTTTTCGTTCAGATTTGTTATTATTTGTAACGTTTTTAACCAAACAAATTGGCTATTTTGTTAAATAATAAACATTTTATGGGTATTGAATTAAAATGATTCGAAGAAAATATGGAGTAAAACTAGTAGAAATCTGTTCAACCGCTTGTAGTTGTTCATATGTGTACCTATATATTATAACAACTAAATTGATTGTTGACTTAGATTTTTAAATAATCTAATGCGTTATTAAAAATGTAAAAACTACTTGTAGTTGTTTGGAAGATCATATTAGTTGTGTCTGTAACGTTTTGGGCTTCGTATCTACATGACGAACGTTTATACCTTCCTTAACTATAATGTGTAATAAGGATCGGTTTGATTGTTTGTGTTTAATGTAATAATAAACGTTTTCGTAGTATTCTGTTTATTGTAATGGGGATAAAACATGTAAATGTGCAAAAATCTCATAAATCTATCAAAATATATTATTAACTTTGAACGTTCTCCATCCAATAATAATGTAGCATGGTACACTGTGTGATCATATTATTTATTTTAATGCTGTTACTCTGAAATCATAATACGGTATTCACTTGTGAATTAAAATTGATTTCAAAATAATTTACACATTTTTTTGTTTTTAATTTTGATTACAAACTAGGTATGTAACGCGAGATTAGGCAAAATGTTAGAACACAGGGAGAAAAAGTCCTTTGTTAGCTCCAGCTTTGATTAGTAACTCTAATTAGTTGGACCTATTTAGTTTTTAATATAAAATAATAACAGAATACAAAGACAGTATTATATTATTATTGATTTTATCTGTCGCCGAAATCGCAATTATGTCTTAAATAAATAAAGGCTAGGCTTTTTTTTAATTTTATACTTATTGTCTATTTGGAAATCATAAAATACCTAATGTCAAGTAGCAAAGCTCGTTTAAATTCACTGATCGATTTGTGGTCTGTTTAATTTCAAAATAATCATATGGATAAAAAAAATTTGTTTTTTTCACTAAAATTAATTCATTTAATGTAAAGTCAAAAATAAAATATTTTGTATCTCGTAGAATTTTTTTCGGAATATTCATTAAATACAATACTAACCATACATGTTGACTAACCGAAAAAATAAAACCTTCTTTCTTAAAATAAGTATTAATTCAAATGTTTTACAACTAGTGACTGTCTCTATCCAAGAGATAATGTTAAAAGTTTACCATCACATGATGGAATGCGCAAACAGTCAAGAATTTTATGACTTTCTCTGGGTGAACAATTCTAATAATATTTCTACCATTAACAGATTCGCACCGAAATGTTTTAAAGTGGTAGTATGAATTTGACGTTTATACGACTTTTAATTAAAACAACTGTGTCAGGAAAACAATGTGCACATGTTAGTTTGTTATTGAGAGGAGTACAGCTGTTACACACCACGTGAAACCAATCTTATTTATTGTGACATTTTGGTTTTTGTTATAGAATAAGCAGATCGTATTCATTTTGTCGAGTAATAATTCCGGCGTCTACAAGATTAAACGTGGAAAAACGATTTACCATAAAGTTTTTGGTGGTCGTCATCGAATAACGAAGGGTAGGGGAGGGTTGCTTAGATTGAGAGTGAAAAAGAGTAGTACAAAATAAAAAATTGGACGTCAGGGATCCTATGATAACAATGTATTAAGGTCATTTAAATTTGCTACAGAAATCCTGCAACAACAAAGTACCTATAATGCAATATAAATATTGCCGACAGGAATTCTACAAAGAGGGTTTATGAAATAGAAATCACATTTCGGCCGGCAGGTTAGGTTAGGGTCGTGGGAGATATTGACCTCGAAGGACAGCCGCCGGTCGCATTCCAAACGTTCACTACAAGCAATATTATTTCTCGACCGTTTATTTGGGTTCAGTGTTCTATAATGACTAGTTTCTGTTGAATCGTAGTAACCCCAGTCCCCGCCAATGCAGCTGCTGTCCTACCGGCCGGCAACAGGTAGCAATAGTTCATGAGGATAAGGGAAAAAGGCACGTGTCATTTGCCAGCCGCGAAGCATACATCCACCAAGTCGTAATACTAACCTTTCATATTATTTACTCAAGTTAGTTTTTTACATGCGATTGTTTTATTGTAATATAATCAAACAGTAAAAATCTACCGGGCACATGTTTTGTTCAGTTAATTTTTTTGTACACACTCCATCAATAAACACACAACGTTTGAATTTTCGACGTGCGGATACATTGCCGTTGCTTATAATTATTTCAAGTAAGATTTTATCGTTTTTCATTTATACGGTTTTGGATAGGTTTGTTTTATATATATAAAAAAAAATTAAACAAGCAAATATGCAAATAAAAATTGCTGTACTGTTTAGGTACGTTTATTTTGGATGCAGAGTTTTATATTTTAAATGAAAATGAAAACGAAGGAAATTATTTTTCATCGTTTTTAGGGGTCTGTAGATTAATTTAGAAAAAAATACCGTTTGTGCCAAAAACATAGGTTAAAATAAAATCTATTCATAATTTCTTAAAAATTAAACAAACGTTTTATTTGGTATTTCAAAAGTCTATATAAAATAACTGTTGAATGTATACTAATTCATCTACCGGTAACCTGAATAAGGGGCAACTTAATATATTTTACACTTTAAAGATTATTCAGATTTATCTATAAAACAGGCTATTTTTTTTTTTAGAATCACAATTTGTACACAATAAAAATAAAACATTATTTTTTTACATTAAATGTAACAAACCGTGATTAATATACCCCAGTAAACTGTAAGCATAGTTTGTGCCGGGGTATATAAGTTACTATTAACAAACATTTTTACAATTAAAAACTTTCTCAAAACATAAAACAGAAATTTATTTCCTTAATTTTAACTCTAAAAAATTAAAATAAACAATATAGTATTACAGATTTTCTAATAAATACTTTCGAAAAGAGTCAAGCATAGATAGATCCAAGTAGATTAAAACATTTTTAACGAAATCTTTTTTTGTGTACCAGGGACTTATGTATGTTAAACGCTCTATGATCACGCTTGGATTCTAGGTCAGTACTAATTTTTACCGACTTAAGCAATATGGCAAATTATTTGTACAATGATCTTACTGGATGTACTTTAAATTCTTTATAATTTAAAATAGGTAGTTAAGCTTTGCATGTGTTTTTTATTCAGACACAGTCGAACAACAAAGTTTTGTTGTATTTCTAGAGTACTTATAAAGAGTTATCTTTATTCTTACTATTTAACCATGTTGACAAAACAAATTTATAAGACGCTTGACATAATATAGTGTGCATTGTGTCAGCTGGAAATATTTTGTTTAATTTCTATAGTTTAAAAACACAAGGTCCTAAACGCATCACTAAAGTATCGATATATAAATTCTTGCACAAATGGCAATCAATAATTATGCCCAAGTTTAAGAATTTCATACATTATATTTATTTCTCATAACCTCATTTTTGTGAAATCAACTTTACATTTAAAATTGCCTACTGCTCCTTTTAAATTAAGCCTCGAGCCCGCGCTTAAATATTGTTTATTGTGGCCGCCGCTGTTATCACACATTGTGCAGACACATCCTTATCAAGTAGGTTGTATGCAGAGTAGACTGTCCACACCAAGGTGTAATTTTTTTTTTAAAACTCATAATATAATCTTGAGTGTTCACATAAAAAGATAGATAAATTGTATAAAGTGTGTGATTTAATACCACATACCTGTCGTTTCATGTTCAGGGCCTAGTAGCTCCGACCAATGGTTTTGTAGCCGTGTACCAGTAAGTATCGAGAAACGTTTTGGTTAATTAATACCGTTTTATTCGTTCTAATGAATGGATAGTATACATAGTATACAAGTCCGATAGTGATTTTTAAAACAGCCTAAACAATAATTGCGTACATCAATTTTAGACTAGTAAAGTGAGAATTGGTATCAACGGTTTTAGATTCGATACTTGATAAGTTGTTTAACACCCTATGTTATTATGTCTAAATGTCACTTTATTTCATAGTTAACAATCTGTACTGTGATATCTTTTTGCCAATTTCTCAGTTTTGCGTTTAAAACCAAGAAGATTACGGCTAATCGGTGTGATGGCAAAAGTCAAGTGACGTTTGTCATCGTAGCAACGGTTTAATTAAAGTTACTATTAATATTTACATGTTTACAAGTCTATTATCTTTTTTTATTAAATATTATATATTATATTTGGAAGGAATTAAAACATTATAATTTAATTTATTATTAGAGAAAAATGCGAAGTGGATATTATAAAAGTACTTCATATTGTGAAGAATAACACAGTTAGGCTATGTTTACTTTATTTATTTGTCTTAGTTAGACTAGTATTTTATTTAAAAAGTAGACTCAGGCTATTAATAGATAAATCATGAGTTTTTGTTCCAAATTTTTAAAAAATATTTTGTTTTTATAACATTATTTTAGCGAGAAACGAAGCAAGATTCCATATTAAAATAGAAAGTAAATAACACAAGACAGAATATTTTTATATATATATATATATAATTATTTTTAAAAAATAGATCATGAGTTCTTGTCTCAAATATTTTAAATATGCTTTGTTTTTTAGAGTTCCTGTAGCGAGAAAAAAACCAAGAATCCAAAGTAAAATGGACAATGATTACTACACAACCACAATCAAATTAGAAGAAGATAGTTCGTCGATAGAGGAGCTTACCAATGTTTCTGATAAAAGAACTAATCTAAATAACACTAAAAAATCATACAAGTGTAGTCCGATGACCACCATAGAACCTCAAAAAACAATCAGTGAAGATGCGTACAAGTAATGTGAATTTTAATATACATTAAAAAAAATTGTAATGTTATTAAGATTTGGATTAGCACACCTTGGTGAAAAACTAGGGGTATGTGATTTTTTTTTTTTAATATAGATAAATTATTAAAGAAATGTTTTTGAATACAAAACAGTAATGTCTGACTTAGCTTTGTTGCATAAGTAGGTGGTTATACTTTTAAAATTAATTTTCTCAAAATAAAATACTTACAATTTCACTAGATTTAAATGTACATATGATTTCTTTTAAACCAATTTTAAGTAGTAACAATTTAAGGTAACCTACAACCTAATGATTAGCATATTTTTCAATTCTTTTTATCAGCAAATATATTAAACATTTTTTTTTGTTTTTAGTGTCGGAGAAACGTGCAACGGTACAATTGTTAAAGTTGAAGTAGACTTTGAAAATGGACATTGTTTTGAGTCTGTTATTGAATTTGAAAAGTATAATGTTTGTGATGTTCAATCGACGAGCCATGATTTAGAAGAATTACGTACATTTGTCTGTGATGTATGTAGTATGTCGTTTGCTACCAAAAGAAGAGTGGCCCGACATATAACTCAATCGCATAGTGTACAAAATTTGAATGGAAAACGAGTTATCCAAAATAAATTCAGGTAAGGAAAATTATTATTTTAGTAAAATATACAATTATCAATTTTGAAATAAAGAGAACATTTTTCCTTTAAATATGTGTACATTATATATCTTATCAAATAGATTATGATAATTTACTAAAGTCTTAACTGGACTTTTTGTACAATCTTTACACTGAACAATTACTTAATTCATACTAGAATTTATGAATATTATATACAATTGTGAAAAGGATATTTTTTATTTAAACATTATTGTTTATTGTTCGACAATTTTTTGTTGTAGTCACAATGATACGAGTTATAAAGCGACTAAAAAAATTGATGGTTGTAATTTTGAATCACGGATTGGAACACTTTACAAACGTAAAAAGCCCTTCAAATGTACGGTGTGTTTAAAGTCATTCGCTCTAAACTCCAATCTCACAAAACATCAACTCGTGCACACCGGGGAAAAGCCCTTCAGATGTACGGTGTGCTTGACATCATTCTCTCAAAAATCCAGTCTCACAAAACATCAACTCGTGCACACCGGGGAAAAGCCCTACAGATGTACGGTGTGCCTGATGTCTTTTTCTGAAAAATGTAATCTTACAAAACACGAACGCGTACATACTGGAGAAAAACCCTACAAATGTACGGTGTGTTTGAAGTCATTTGTTACAAAAAGCCAACTTGCTGCCCACCAACGCGTGCACACTGGCGAAAAGCCCTACAGATGTACGGTGTGCCTGATGTCTTTTTCTGTAAAATGTAATCTTACAAATCACGAACGCGTACACACTGGAGAAAAGCCCTTCAGATGTACGGTGTGCTTGACATCATTCTCTCAAAAATCCAATCTCACAAAACATCAACTCGTGCACACCGGGGAAAAGCCCTACAGATGTACGGTGTGCCTGATGTCTTTTTCTGTAAAAGGTTCTCTTACAAAACACGAACGCGTGCACACTGGCGAAAAGCCCTACAGATGTGATTTTTGTTTAAAAACGTTCTCTCGAGCGACCAACCTTAATAAACACAAACGACTACACACTAATGGGTGAAGTGTGTATGAAATATTTTTCTTAAAAAACTCCCCTGGTACAACACAGAGCGGCGCATACCTGTAAGAAGCTCGGTCAAAATTGTTTGTATGTTTTTTTCGATTTACTTTTTAATTATCAGTTTGTAAAAAAATAGAGTAAAGTACGGTTACTGCAACTTAATAGGGCATCTGATTATACAAGTTAATTAAAAACATAACTAAAAAAAATATGTTTATTTTTCTTTTATTGATCTATTTAGAGTCGGGCCAGAAAAAATGTATATTTTGACTACAATACTTAATTGTTTTATTGTTAATAAATGTAAGTAATGATTCTGTAACTAATGGTATTTGACGTCGAAGTTTATAACCTAAAATAAGTTTATACAGAATAACGAATTCTATCCGCAAATTAGATATCAACCGTTTTATCTATTATTGTTTTGTTTTCAGATTACTCTTTAAAGATAGTAAATATGAATAAATCCTTGTTGTTTTACGAATAGTCATTTCAATTATAGACATGAAACCGCGCATTTACAGTGATTACATTTATACATACTGTGATACAGTGATTATTTTAAGGCTTAGTTATTAAATCTGGTTTTCCAAAATAAAATCAGCTTAAGATATTTTCAGCATGAATTATATGTCATTGCTATTTTAACTCTAATATTATTTGTTAACATTTATAAAAAAAAAATGTGATTTATACCATCTAAAAAGTAGGATTGAAGGGGGTTTATTTGATAATTATTTCATAAATGCAAATACCGATAAAAGCTGTAATATATTTTGGGTTAGTATGATATAAACAATAATACGATAATACATATATAGTGTTCAGGCACGGCGCCAGAATTTTTTTCCCAGGGTGGCGGGAAAGGCCAAGTGAATTTTTTGGAGGGGCAACCACAATAATTTTACCTACTTCTGTCAATAAAAAACAATTATAATGATTTATCAGTGAATGACTTTAATATTTATCAGTGAAATAGTATAAAATATGAATTTATTACATATTAAGAGACAATATATACTAGTGTAGAATTTAAGTAAGGCAACTTTTTTAAATAAGCGTTATTTTTACCTGTCGGCCATCAATTAGTTCTTATTGTACTCTATGAAAGTCGAAGTAAAAATGAAGGCATATAAAACGCCCAACAACCAGTCAGTAGAGATTATAGTTATCGTGTTATACCTACATTCTACTAAACCAAAACAATCCGTCAATAAACACTGAATTTTTAGAAAAAACACACACAAACGTAAATATTATATATACACCAAAACACATAATTATATGGGCGGCGGATTATTGAAAACAGATTACAAAAACACTCAAAATAATATATTGATAAAAAAAGATCACATTTGGTCGCAATGTCATTACTAATAACTAATTTTGTATACATAAACCGGTTTAAATCAAAACAACAATTGTTTCCGTAATAACTAAATTTGTATATATAAAAATACAATTATTCAAAATCTAGGTTTTAGGAATAATAATCCAATATTTAAAATTATACTATTTAGCAAAATATCTGGGGGGGGGGCGAGAGAAGGGCAAGAATTTGTTATGAGGGGGCGACCGCCCCCCTCCCCTTGGCGCCGTCCCTGCCTACCTACTAATTTGTACAAGCCTGTGCATACAAATTACAATTGCACGTACTCGTTAAGTCAACGAATATTTTTTACAATATTTATATATTTTTGTGCAATATTTTTCTATACGATATTAAAGTTTCGCTCTATTAGGTTTAAATGTGAATCTACCAATTTGATAATTATCGTAGAAATTAACTTCTCGCACGCATAATTCTCACAGAATATAATATTAATAATGATGAAAATCCTATCATATGACAAAATAACTATTTTCACGTTGATAATTTAATCTTAAAATGTGGACAACTGCATTAACAGTAAATCATAAGCCACCACCTGGTATTTTATGACGAGTGTAGGTAGTTTGGGTTTTGACATTTATTCTTTGTACCTACCTAACTTTTTTTGAATTGAAAACAGGTCAAGTATTTTTGATATCACATTTTCGTTATCGCCCATCGGTAAACAAACAACAACGACCGTAATCATCGTGACAAAAAAGACATAGGTATGTTGGCAACTTGCGATAACATGGAAATGGTTGCCATTTTTCACGGGCGGCCGTGTATTTATTACGAGATAAAAACCGGCGCCATGTTGTAGGAGTATTGATAACACGTTTTGCTGACAATACCTGTGATCGTGCCTTAATCAATATTATGGAAAATTCTTATCTCGAAATTTTGCCGAATGCCGCCCGCGTCCTCTCTGCTATAAGCTTTACGCTTTCCCATTAGAATGTTATGCCATAAAAATTAATTTTTCGAAATATTTTACTACTTGAAATATTTTCAAAATGTATTAGAATAACAAAGACACGAGGCTCGTTTGTATTTCATTTCAAAAATGGGAACAAATGTGCACCACAATTTACCACCAGAAGCGGATGATAAATCGCCATCGGACGAAACCGATTCGGAAGTAATATGGGAAGTCATCGACAAAGAAGACGATGGTAATATTTGTGTGTACATTGTATTTTTTTTTTTGTATTTTTATACAAACCGTACGTATTTTGTCTTTAGTGCACTTGAGAAATATATCGTCTGCCGTTTACACTGTCATACTACTAGTAATTGGCATACCTCTTTGGTGGCGGATGACAGAGGTCCAGCGTCACTCTCTTCCGTACGCTAAAATCTCCGAGCTTGAGACGAGAAATGTCGTTATTACCACTGACGTGTTTGTATTTACACAAAACCCTTTAGACACAGACCGTATTATTAACGAAATCAAACTGGGATTCAATTCAAGTATTTTAATTCCTACACTGTGTGTAATATATTTTATTAACTCATGATAATATATTGTTTGAATTTTTCATTAGCTATGTTTGAGATCAATGCTGAGCGTTCCACTCTGGTCAAAAAAAGTGACAGTTTAAATCAACTAGAAGCTATAACAACACCCTTGGGATCACTTCATTTAATTGAAACAGACAATGTAGATGATATTCTAGTGGGTCTTGGCCGTAATGTATATTTCCCCCCCGACACAAGTAAAACACTTTGAGAATCAATAATTAGCTCTGTTACTTATTTACCATAATGTCCTAGGCATTTGGTTATTAACGGATACGTTAAAAAGACTTTTACAAACTGATGCGTTGTCGGACTCAATGTTATCAATGTTAAGCCCACGCCAGCATTCTGAAAACGAACAAGTAGTAGCCGATCGTCAACGTCGAGTGCGTCCATCGTCAGATTACAATATCTTACTTACGGTTGTAAACCCGGAACCTGACAATCTTAAAGTTACTTGGACACCAGTAATTCCTATAAATAGTAAGTTTGCAGTATGTGTGCTATTTAAAATGTATGTAATAAAATTTTTTTTGAATTTCGATTGTTTAGGATATCTAATGCCTTTATTGAATCAGTTGAAATTAATTGCTAACTTTTCTGTACAATCTCAATGGTTGTATTTAATTGATTTAATACAAAAGCCGATCAATCTGAATGGTACATTCGTGTTGGATAAAAATCAAGCTCAATATATTATAACGCCTCTAGAAAAAAAACTAGGTTAGTAAAATGTTTTCGGCCTAATCCATAATTGTTGGAACTCCAAAATTACTACTTAAATAAATTGTTTATTACCTATTCCTAATTATGTATTCGTTTTAGGTTCCGGAGTGTCAAAAAATCCGTGTATACATTTTGTTGTTTATGTTGCGCCTTGTGCCTATACACCTCTATATTTTTACGAGAACAATAGACTAACATCAGCAATGATGTCGGCTCGTTGGGGAGGTGTCCAGTTTGTAAACGCCAATCCTGAGGCGTGCAATAAAACTAAAAGCTTTACTCCAGACGATCTTAGTGTTATGACTCCGATTGTCACTCAATTTCATTCGTTAATCGGAGTGTCAGACGTATCAAAACAAGTTTCAGTTATTCCTCTGAAATCGTCCACTTTGCGTGCTTGGCAATTGGATTCCATGTACAGACTTAAGATCATCGAACAATACACCAACGCACGCGTTACCCTTACTTCGTTATCAAAACTTTTGGGTGAAATTAGCAACATTGTTATCATTGAAGAGGTCGGGAAAGCTGTCACTGAATCGGTAGACGCCGCCTTATCAGTGTTGCAAAGCATAGAGGATGGACGTTTGGAAGACGCCTTAGAATATAGTAGAATTGCATTTAAGACTTCAGAATTTGCATTTACCCATCCGTCGTTGTTAGCGTTGCTTTATTTCCCCGACGATCAAAAGTACGCTGTGTACATACCTTTATTTTTACCAGTTATGATTCCCGTAATAATGTCGTTAGGAGGAATTAAAAACTGGATTCAATCTAAGTTCAAAAAAATTGACTAAATATAAATATAAATTATGAAAACTTAGAGGAAAACTGTAGTTATATTGTATATATATATATATTTTTTTTTTTTTTAATTTATTTATTTATCACAATAAACCATTGCTTTTGAGTATTAAAACAGCGTAAGACTATATACAAACTTTTTTTAGTATTTCGGTAATTTGAACGATGACAATTCTTCACATTTACTACCAGACGGAACGTTTTGCTTTTCTATCATGTTATGTATTTTGTTCCATTTCCGAACGAGTTCTGCCTTGTCGTATGAGTTATATCTTAACTTTTAACGCTAAAGGCGTCGTATACAGGCTTTTATATCTTAAGATGCATTAGAACTCTAATTGTGCAGTAGGAAATGAAAAACGTGCACTCAACAACTAAGTATATAAATGAGATATTAGAATAATATAAAAAATATAGGCCTAACTTAATTTTGTCTTGACTAAAATGGAAAACTTAATGTACTAATAATTTACCTTTTTTTTGATTGTGGTCGGTTTGTTACATTCGACACATTTTTTTTATAGACATAGGACTCGTTTAAATATCTATAACAGTTAAGTTTTCACATTGACATGTTTCAACTTCTCGGGAATTATTATTAAAAGGTCTTAATAGTGTATCATTAATTTATTATGATATCATTAAAAAATGAAAACTGATGATAATTTCTTATAAAAGATTTTTAAAATTTTTTTTTTATCTATATTATATCAACTTACGTATAAAAAAAACCAGTACAGTGGGGTCGGTGCATAGTGGGGACGGAGCATAGTTGGGTCGGGGCATAGTGGTGACGGGGAGGTCACAGGTTTACAGGAATTTTTAAATCTGAAAGTGATAAAATCACTTTCGAAAAAACGCTTCGATGCAAATCGGTAGTTAGTATTTTCAAGCCATTACAGTCCAAACCAAGCACAGTATAAACCAGCAAAGTTAGAGAGTTTTAAATGAAGGTTCTGTATTTACAAATGAGCATCAAAGCGATTTTATTCAATTTTATCACTTTTATTTATAATAATTCTTGTAGACCTGTGACCTCTCCGTTTCCTCATTGCTTTGATTACATTATGCCAATACTCTACTGTACTAGTTCTCTCGGATAAAATCACTTTCAAATTAACGCTTTGATGCTCATTTGTAAATACAGAACCTTCATTTAAAACTTTCTAACTTTGCTGGTTTATACTGTGCTTGGTTTGGACTGTAATGGCTTGAAAATACAAACTACCGATTTGCATCGAAGCGTTTTTTCGAAAGTGATTTTATCACTTTCAGATTTAAAAATTCCTGTAAACCTGTGACCTCCCCGTCACCACTATGCCCCGACCCAACTATGCTCCGTCCCCACTATGCACCGACCCCACTGTACTGGTTTTTTTTTTTTAAACTTAAAATTACGATAAGCTATAACTTTTTTTAATAATAGTTTAATTAGTTGGGCTATAGAAAAAGGTTTTAAAAATAAGACTGAAGGTACATTTAGAGTGGGACTTAACACTGCGCTTATTATGGAAAATCCAAAACAATGAGGGAAATCATACTATGACCGTAAGAAAGTTATGTTAAGTCAACGGGTGTCTAAAAAATGTTTAATAAGAAAATAATTAATTTCAAATACGGCGGTGAAATAACAGATTTACCATTGCAATAGATCTGTTTTCACTTTAGTTTTCATACATTAGGTTCTTAAACTAAGCCAAAAAAACATAATGTAATGTAAAAAAGGGTTAATGGTATTTTCTGGGTTCAGACTGTTTACATCGGTATTTAGAACTGTTGTAATTTTTTTTCATAGCATTATTGCACGCTGTATACAAAATTTTAAAAAATAGTAACACGGCAATATCAATAAATTTATTTATTTCGGCCATTGACTAGTCTTTAATAATCATTCATAGCCCTTTATAATACTGATTGAATCGTATATTTTTTCGTCGAACGATATCAAACTAAAATAAATTACATTTTAGACATTAACTAGTCTTTGTTAATCATTCCTAGTCCTTAGAATAATGATTTAATTGTATGTTTTGAATCTAACGGTAACAGAGTAAACTATACATTTTACACCACTAGTACTTGAAAAACTTAACATGATTCATAATATGTTATTCATTTGATGGGACACTTAAATAAATAAGTTGCTTAAAAAAAGGTATAGTTTAGCTATATTAAACTAGGTTACAGAACCAAAAACAATAATTTTTGTGGTTTTTTTACACGTTTTTTATTTGCAACATTAATACACAAAATATACTTTTTTGGCCAAATATTTTCGCAAACAATGAACACATACCGCATACGCAACAATAATACATTAACAATGAACAATGTACACTCCCTCCACTTAACAAATGAGACAAACAATGTTGTGTAGCACGTATCTCTGTATATAATGTAAGAAAATGTGCTGTTTCTCTAGTATTATATTGGACATCTCTGGAGTTTGACTTTAGCTTAAAATCCAAAAGTTCATATTTAATTTTGCATTTCAAAATTCTTACATTTTAAGATACTATTAGAGTATAATTTCTAAAAAAATATGGGTATTACAATCATAATAATTTTAAAAAGATTATTATGATTGTAATATCCATATTTTTCATTATAATGTCAACGTATACAGGTACATAAAAAAATAATAATCATACAAATGTAAAATAAAAAGTTATACAAATCTATTTTTCATGTTTTAGGTGTTGATGGAGGTAAGTTTAAAATTAAATTGCTCTATTTTTATTTATTAATCTGATATCAATTTTTTTTTTTTGTTTTTCGATAAAGTGTAATAGTAGTTTCAAATGACTTAACCTACCTTTAAAACAATATTTAAGTAGGCAATTTCTAACACATATTACCTAAATAGGAAGCTGAAAATGACAAATTTAGGAATGTTTTTAGGTACTGTTAATAAATAAATAAATACAACACTTTTTTTTGTGTTTCCGCTGATAAAAATGACTGTAGTCATAAATAAAATTATATGTTTTTTAGCAATGTTATTTTTAAAATATTACTTGTGGCTAAGATAAAAATAAAAGCTTTTGGATCAAACTTAAAATATGAAATTTATACATGATGCATCAGGATAGAAAAATATATTTCATTTTATTTTCGATATTTCAGAACCTCCGCAAGTTCCTCCAAAACCTCCTAGTAAGTCTTTGATACTTTGCTATAATTTATATATGTTTAATAAGTGAAATTAAATATGGATTTTTATTTTTCGCTTTTCAAATGACTGTAAGCTGAAAGTTAATATGAGGTTTTGTGCTTTACCAATATACTAGAAGTTTTAAAATGATTCCCAATAGAGCTTAAAATGTGTATAAAATGCTACAAATGCCTTACATTGTTGAAAATAAAAATAAGTTTTCCATGTTGATCAGCAGAATATATAAATCTGCTTATCTAGATATAATGTTAATTTAAAAATATTACTGGTGGCTAAAATAAAATTATTCATTTTTGGATCTAAATTAAAATATGTAATTTATCATTCAATATTTCAGCTGAACCAAATACTCCTAGTAAGTCTTTGATACTTTGCTATAATTTATATATGTTCAATAATAATATTTTCAATATAGATTTTTATTTTTCGTTTTTCAAATGACTGTAAGCTGAAAGTTAATATGAGCATTTGTGCTTTATCAATATACTAGAAGTTTTAAAATGATTCCCAATAGAGCTTAAAATGTGTATAAAATGCTACAAATGCCTTACATTGTTGAAAATAAAAATAAGTTTTCCATGTTAGTGAGCATAATATATAAATCTGTTTATCTAGAAATAATGTTATTTTAAAAATATTACTTGTGGCTAAAATAAAATTAATCGCTTTTGGAACAAAATTAAAATATGTCAATTATCATTCAATATTTTAGGTCACCCGATATTTCATAGGAAGTCTTTGATACTTAAAATAACAATAAATTAGACAAAATAAGTATTTCGGTTCCTATTCAAAGTTACAGGACAGGCAGGCGACAGATTTACTGAAGCCCGCTAACGACAACTGTTTTTACCAAATAAGCTGCAATATCCAAGATCCCTGTCACATTCGGAAAAAAAAATTGCTTACTAATTTGTATAAATTTAAAAATGTATTTCTTTGTTAATCATTATTGTCTTTGAACCATTATAATATTCAAATAACAATGTATTCCAAATATCATATTTTGTTAACTATCAATTATATTATATGTCCATTACATAACTATCTACCAGTAAAAATAGTATTCACCGGATAAAAAAATGTATTATTTAATTATCTAATCAAATCCAGCTATTTGTTTTTGCTTCTGATTCCTTCTCTTACTATCAATACTTTGTTATAAAATGTCTATGGAAATGCGGTAAGCCGTGTCAATTGTTTAAATTTATATTTTATGACAAATATAAACATATAATTGATTTTGATTAGATACTATATCTTTACTCCATAGAAAATGTTGTTTTTGGCATTCAAAGCCTAGACATCTAATGTGTGTGTGAGTGGTTTTCCCAAATGTCTCAAACATGTTTTATTACAATTTACTTAATTTAAAACAAATACCATAATATAGTGTTGGAGTTGGCTGTGAAATTCCTTCTTATATTTATTTTATTTTAAATTGATATACAATACTACATCGAAATTCTAATTTGGTAGTTATCGTGGATACAGATACAAAACAAATAAATAAAAAAAAGTAGATCATTGTAAAATGAACACCTATCTTTTACGTTCTGCATCAAAGCTAAAAACCTAATAATAATATGTTTTTATGATTCATAACATAATATTTACAAAAAATACCAAATGATAAACATTTTTAAGTTTGTTTATAAACTAAACACATTTTTCTCGAGTTGATCTTTTATGTTGAAAAAAATATTACTCTTATAAAACCGTAATAAACATAGTTTCGAAGCATAACATAAATAATACAACCATACCGAATACGTTTTAAAAAACCACTTGTTTTCGGTAAATAATATTCGTACACCATGTTAGGTATGTTTTTTTATTTGAAGATTTTGAGTGTTCGCACTTCATAGCAACATATAATAAGAACTTTATTATATTATAAAAAGATTTTAGGAAATGATAAGGAAAAATTATTAAAATCCATACCATGTGTAATAATTCCATTTTCTTTTAAACGTTAAACTAAGGGGATTGATTTTCAATTTTCATTAAAAAAATGCAGTTTCTTTTAATTAAATAAATACGATTTAACAAGTCGTTATTATTAAAAACAATTTTTTTACGTAAAAAATTAAAAATCCGTTTCTGACATATTCTAGTAGCCAAAGAACTCATATCTCTTCGCGGAATTAAAATCGGACCACCCTAAGTAGTCGAAATTTTTTTGGACTTTTTGGTATAAATTGTCAAAAAACAAACCTCATTCAATTCCCATAACTGGATACCTAATGACTTAAACATTTGATGAGGTTATTCTTTAGACTTGGCAATGCGGGTCTAAACCTATAGACTACATCTGTTGTGTCACAAAAAAATAAGTACAAAAAATATAAAAATCTGTAATTAAACATTTTTCATTAAACTAAATTTTTCTCTCACTAAAATGGTAATAATTCATGAATGCACAATTAACTATTACAACTACAGTTACGTCGTTTTTCTACCTATATCTATATAAAAATTATTTTAATGTAAACTGGGTTTCGACCAAAAGTAAAACTATAAACGTTTTTTGTAAAATATAACACTGTTTAATGTGTTAGATTTTAAAGATTTTTCATTAGTTTACATTGCTTCAGTAAATAGAATTGACAACAAGTTGATCACGTTTAAGTGATTTTGTATCATTTGGCTGGCTACACTATGGTCTTGATAAGAATAAACCAGTTTTAGAACCTTATTTGTTGTTTGTGTTGTTGATAAAAGCTCTGATATGAGATGCTATTTATTAATCTGTGTGTAAGTTTAAATGTTACAGCAATAATCGTATATATATCAATAAACCCGATTTAGATTATTAGCTGATAATCATTTAATCACTTGAGACCTTTTTTAATTATTTGGAAATTTTTATTTAATGTAATTTTAAAAAAATGATGTAATTTCATAATTAAATATTATTAGTCCCTTTACTTTAAGAACTAAACGTAATTACAAATTGGTTTTTGTTTCAAAATTATTATTTTAGTGTGTTCAATGATTTGTATTTAAATCGACAGTTTTATAATAACAAAACTGAATATTTTTTAATTATTTTCATAAATTATTTTAAAGTACTATTATATTTTATAGTTTTGTCTATCTGCTAAATTATCTCAACAATTTTGTTTTATATCGTTGTTAAGTATTTCAATACGCGACGATTTCACAAATCGGGCTTTAAGTTTTGAAATTCTTGTATTAAAGTTTACATTTTATAATAGTATAACCGTATCGAATACGTACTTTTTTTTTTATAATACATAAGGTGTTTAAAAAATTGATTATGAACTTGATATTATAATAAGGCCACAGCAGATGTTCTTTAAATATTTATTTTCAGACTTTAGGCATGACGTACTACTAACATATACTTAAAACACGTGTAAACAAATTTATGTAATCAACATTTTTTTTTATAAAAAATTACCAATAATTGTCAACAATGTTTTCACGATTGACTACGCTGAGCGTGCTCAATGCTGTTGGATAACTTGCGATAGCTGAGTTATTATAGTGTCCATAAGGAAAGCTTTGCGCAGTCCTCCCGGAGCGGAGTGATGGTCGGTCCTTAAGACCAGTAGCTATGTGTGGAACCAAAGCGTGAATAACTTTGTTTATAGGCAAGGTTGTTGTGTAGTCCTCTAATATACAATTAAAAGTCTGTTATCAGGGGGATATGCAGCAGGCTAGGTATTGTCACGCAAACAACTGTTTGATAAATGTAAAAATCACACAAATATATATATATATATTGAGTTTAGTATCATATACAGTATTCATCACCACATTCAGTGCCTAAAAGGGACGACTGATTTAGAGTAGGCATAAGTGTATTTCTCTATAAAAAGTTGAGTAATAAATTAACTTAATCTACGCAGGATTGCTACTCCAAGATCGTCGCTGGACCAGAAACAAGGTACGTGGAAAACAACTTATAATTATATATATTAGAGTAATAGTATAATTAAAATAAATTAGAGTAGCCAATATGGATATGAGTTTAATTTTCGGATGTTCTTGGTAAAACTTATAATAAACGACCTTATAGATAAATTGGCAGAACTTTACGATTATTATTATGTGTTAAAGGGTAAGAAAACATTTGAACATGTTTTACTAGGCGAGTTTATGAAAAATAAATCTTAAAACCTCTCAGAAGCCTGTAAAGGTAGATTAGAGTAGGTTAGGAATATTTCAAAGGGTTTGAAGGGTCTATAACACATACCTTTAGCCAATCGTTGTTAAAGTGTTTTGGAAAACATTAAGAAAAAGAAATGATAGATTGCATACCTTGTTAAATTATTAAATAATTATATAATATGTCAACGTTTAGGCACTGAAAAAAATTACAAAGAAATGTTAGAAGATCCACTTTTAAAAGTGATAATAATGTTAAAAGTGGATATGAGTGGTTGTCCCTGGAAAAAGCAAACGTAACTTCACCAAAAACCATTATTATTATTTTCACAATACGGCGAAAATTAGGGTAATAAATATTAGTACAGAACAATTGTGTATGTTGGTTGAAAACTGGAAATTTGCGTCCTTATTTTATCGGTATCTTAGAAGTACTTTACTATTCTCATTCTACGAAGATAGTATAACATTCGAACAGGTTTTTACTTACTGGGTTTAATATTTAAAATATGGCTAATTTTAAAGGATTTAAAGGGTCTAAACTCTACAAGTCAGCCATTTTTGGGGTTATTTAAAAAAAAAAAAAAATTGCATAGTTAATTTATTGTACAATTTCTGTATACTACAGAAGAGATTGTTTATTAAAGTGATGTTTTTTTGAGACCTGAAATTCAGTACTTTGTAGGAAGCTTGACAATACTTTATTATTCTCATTCTGTGTTAACAGTACGTACTAGTACTGCTACTATTAATTATAACTTAAATGTATATTAGGATTTATATTTTAATTATATGTTAAATTTTTAATAGTGTACGACAACTTTTGTAAATCAAAAAAAATTACAGATGAAAAATATTTTATCCTTCTATTAAACAAAATCATTATTAAGATTACACAAAAATAATGTGAATATTGATGATGTATAGGTATGGGCCGAAGACACATATTTTTGGGTCTCGGTATGGATAGAAAATTTGTTTTTAATATTGTTATTCTTATAACTTTGTAAAGGAAAAATAATTTAACTAGGTCGATTTAAAAGATACTGTTTTGTTTTTTGTGTGTGTATATATATATATATTAGTAGGATATTGGTGTGTACTTAACAAGTCACTATTTGAACAAGTATACAAAATAACACATCAAAATATATGTAGGTACCTATGTATAATTCTTATTTCAATAAATAGCACGACCTAAACCGGGTTTTCAAGATGAATTATTTAGAAAAGTAATAATAATGATAAAACATCATAATATTTTCAAAAGGTTCTAAATTATTATGAAAAATAAAATAATAAAATTAATGCCGAGACCAATAATTACAGCAATATGAACAAAAATAATATATTTTACAAAAAAAATACATTTTGTATATTTATCCTATACACGATATATTTTTCTAAGACTTGTTATCGACCATTATTATTATTAATTACATATTTATTTGTTGTTCATTTTATTGTTTTATATTATATGTTTATTAAATTAGTATATTTTTGTATGTTGTCATTCTTTATTTTCTGACGTCATTTGTATATATTTGATATTTTTATTTAGGTTATCTATTTCCCGATACGCAGTTTCCTTTGTATTAACTATTTTGTCATCACTACGTATTATTTTTTATCCGTTTACGTCAATTCACTAATTTGTATAATAGTACACAAGTTCTTCTTATGTATTATTGTCAGTACTTTAAAGTCAGTTATTGCTGTGTTAGTTAGTTTTATTATTATAATATTGCTTAACTGTACTGTATGTTTACGATTTACTATAAACAGTTTCTTAAAGTTTTTAGAAGTTTAAAAGGGTTCTTTTTATCTTTATTTTTGTCCTATATCTAAATAGTAAGCCTAGCTTATTAGACCCAATTTTAGTACAATTTTCAGACCTTAATTTATGCTCAGCGGTCACGTAATTTTACAAACGAAATACTATTGTAACCTAACCTGCGCGATTGTAGACATCATATTAACGCATTAAAAAAAAGTGATACATATCACTTTTTGTTAATGCGTTTTGGCAGTAGATAATATGATAACAATTTGTTTTAACAACCCGATAGTAGGAACGGTATGTTGTTTACACAAATAACCAACAACCAACACTACCACAGTAATGGTTACGAAGATATGATAACGTGTTATCAACCATGTTTGAAAAAACAAAGTTACCCCATTTTACGGTACTCATTAACAGATGATACTTATTCGAATCAAAGAGTATCCCATTATTTCGGATACCCGTTGGTTTCGATTATTACCCGTTAAAAATCAAAAGCTCTACTTTTCTAGGTACACGTATATTCAATTCAGACAGTATGGTATGGTTTTATAAAATATGTTGGCAAAATTATAATTTCTGTTGTTTTTCAAACCGAAATATTTTTAGCGTTAAGCATTCTCCATTTGTATAGTACAGCAAATCAGATAACTTGGTATCGCTTTTATAAAATGTGTAATAGCAACATAATATTTGTTGCTTTTTGTTTTTTTCAAACCGATAAATTCGTATTTAGGTCACAATGATATTTTTTTAGTTTTACATGAAAACATGTTATTTGAAAAATACACGTCTAATATATTTTCCTTCTTATGTGCTACAACTTTACATCTATGAGAGGCATCTCTGTCTCCCAGAATTTCCAACCTAATTTCACCCCAAACGAGTTTCATCCATACGCCGAACATGAATTTGTTTATTAAATTTCAATTCCTCACGAGCCTTTTTGACACTTTTAGTGTCGTATACAATTGTAAACACAATTAATCAAATACTCTATTACTAAAGTTTAGCCTGGCACTTAGAGTTCAAATTAAACCATCATTATTTCTTATATTTATTTTCATCATTTACTCATTATAATCAATGCATAGTTTATAAAATGGCGTAATAAATATAGAGTTTTTTTAATTATTAATTCCTTATGTGACATCTGTAGATTGGCATCGAAACGAATTTATTATAGTTCCATTATTCCAAAAGTACCTTCTGGAAAAAGGGAGATCAACAAATAGTTTCCTACGCTTTTAGAGAATGAATATTCCAAAACTTTAGAAATAGTTTGACCATTTTCCAAAAATTTACAACATGGCGTAGTTTCAAGTAGAAAAATATATAAATTTTTTAAGAGTTTTTCTTGATTTTAAAGGGACTTCACTTGAATTTTTGCAATTAAGTACCATTTAGCTAACATATCTGAGCTGATAGACTTATACATAACACAACTACATGCAGCCCCACATTATATAAATATTTACTTCGTACACTAATATATTAATAGGTATTAATTATTTATTTTTTGTTCAACAAAAATCAAAATCGGGACCTCTTAGTTGTTAATGGTAGTTTTGAAATGTTTGTTTAGTTTTTTCTATAATTTAAAGAAGTATTTGTAAAAAAAACAATATAAAACTTTTCTAAAAACAATTTACAATACGTATTCCAAATGAGACAACTAATACCATTTCCTCATGAGAAAAATGTGAGCCATTTTTGTATGTAGGAAAACAAGTTATTATGTAATTTTACTACTTAAAAGAATTATAAATATGTTTGCAGCGAAAATCATTTTATTTTTAAGAAATTAAAAACTATTTGTATACATTGTAATTTGTCATACCTATAAATCGGGTCAAGTATTAAAAACGAACTTATGTACTAAATGTTTTCATAAATATTACTTGATTACGCGTTATATAGTACGGTTAAATTTTAAAACAACTGTTTTCGATCGAATATACATGTGTAACCATGTATTTCAAACATGGTTGATAACACGTTATCATATCTTTGTAACCATTACTGTGGTAGTGTTGGTTGTTGGTTATTTGTGTAAACAACATACCGTTCCTACTATCGGGTTGTTAAAACAAATTGTTATCATATTATCTACCGCCAAAACGCATTAACAAAAAGTGATATGTATCACTTTTTTTTAATGCGTTAATATGATGTCTACAATCGCGCAGGTTAGGTTACAATAGTATTTCGCACACTTAGATCAACGCAGTATAACTCAAAAAGTAACATTTGAAAAGAGTATGAAAAAACAAAACAAAGCGGGAAAATTACTTTGCCCTAATTGGATCCACCTTATACTAAACATACTAGTTTAAGCAAATTATTGACAGTGATTTTATATGTATCTACAGATACGCTTCGAAGTGTTTATCTGAAAGCGATTTTGTCTATAGATATTACATATATAAGCACACTAATAGTTTTAATTTAGATTTTAAATGTATTCTACTAACATTTTTAATTTTGAATAAAACTTGTGTTAAAAGTGTTTTGAAATATAAACAAAAGACAAACAGCTGTTAGCGTTGTACATTTTTTAAATTTTTTCGTAAAGGACAAGGATGACTTTTACAAATACAATTTTTATAGTTTTACTATTTTTTTTTTTTATGAACAACATGTGTTTTTTTCGTTTTACCTCGATGTATTATTTGTGTTTTTGAACGTTTGAATTTGCGCGCATTATAGTACCATATTGCCCCGACCCCACTGCACTGGCCACTGTACTGGTTTTTTTTTCTTTAAACGGTAAAGAAATCAGGTCGGCTATTTGTTTTGTGCTGCTGTCTGAAAGCAAGATGTACAAAACTTTGTATTAATTGTTTTAATGATTTGATAACAATTTTTTTAAGATTTTAAGTGTTTTTTGTTAAAATATACGCAATCTGCGAAAACACAGTTTTCCGGCTATTAAAAAAAAACTGTATTGCTGAATTATTTTTCCGTTTAATATGTTATGGATACATATGAGTTCCAACTACTGGCAAATTTTCAACCCAAAGGTCTTAAAATTACGGCTAAAAACTCCGAAAAACAAAAAAACCTGTACCCCCCCTAGGGGGGTGGGCATTGGGTTAAATTCAAATTTGATATAACTGACGTGCGCGGGCATACTAAATAAATATTTCTTATAAATTTCAACTCGATCCGACTCTTTTTCTCGAAGCTATAGCCAGTAAAAGTTCTAACTTAAAAACTCGTACGGTTTTTTTTTGTTTTTTCAACTTTCGTCTGTGAAGAGTTAAACTTTTTCAACTTTTACCCCCCCCAAAGTACCAACTAGATGAAAATTGCGATTTATAGAGTTGCTATTCGAAGGAATTGGTCCAGTATTAAAGAAGTTACAGTGTATACAGATAAAAAAAAAACACACATCAGAGTAAAACCAATACCTTCTCGCTTTGCATCGAAGCTAAAAACAGTATTAATTTAACTCAACTGATTTTTAAAGGTATCTATAATAATTATACATATAAGCACTTTAAATACAATTAAAAATACTTTTTTTTTATATAATATATAATAATATTAATGTATTTTTTTTTAATGTTAAATACGTATTTGAAAGAAATGTACTTGAAATTTGCTCATTTCTGGACTGTTGTATATAACACATTTTTGTCTACTTGCCAGTATTGAGTATTTTTATCATAATCGAAAAACATCAAATAATAATAATAAGAACAGTAATTAAAAGACCTTAAAACACTTGTTAAGGGTATGTTACAAAACCCAATATAATATACAACTTTTTCACTGATATTAATTTCTTAAAAAATATCTTTAATTTTGTTTAAAAATAGGGGGAAATGTAAAATATTGATTTTTTTCATCATTTGTAATAATACAATTTGTACCTACAGTTACGTTTGTCTACAATGACCATACTTGTACAACAATCAAATAATGAACAAACCGATTAAAAAATTATCGCTTTAAAAACACCTTCCACGGTAAGTGTAAATAATGTTTAGGAATTACAATTAATAGGTTTTAATCGCGTAATACGAATAAATTACAATTCAAAGCTATTGATCATTTCTGTTCGAAAGATAATTATTCTTAGTTGTCTTATTTTAATAATTAATTTCAAATAATGTCTGTATATAAATATATGCATTTTTGATCCCCAATACTGAAGGCATTGTTGATTTTTAACGCATTTAGTTAAAGGTTAAAACTGCATTGAAAGAAGCTGTTGGAATCCGATTGGGAACATACAAATATTAAAACAAAGCCAATCGCATAATACAGAATCTTGAAAATCAACTCGCTTTTTTGGGAGAGAAAATCTCTGACAATATTATGTTGCTCAGTGCCCACTAAAATTCTTAATCCTTGTGACTTTACAGTTTACCACCATCGTCCGTCTTATAAACATTGGAAATTTAAAGTGCCTTCGCGATACGCGGGGACGCCCGGTCGTCTTACCGTAACCGCGGTTGTGGTAGCCGACTACCGGACTACCGCGATTTACCTCCACGGTCCACCACAGGCCTGGCACGCTGGTCGTCGGGTGAATGATAACGGATAACGGTGCGTGCCGCGTTGTCTTAAATCCACAGAATATATTAAAACAATAAAGCCGAATTATAATATTATGTTTCCATAGAAAAAAAACTATCATTAAACGGTAATCTGTTTTGTATACATTTTTGAGACGGTGTCCGATCTGCGCTCGCCATTTATACCGTCGACATTCGACTCGTTTATGACGAGTTGATGTGTCAGTGTCGGATCGTCTGAATGATGGAAGTTCAAGTTTAATACATACAAGGTAAGTTTCGAGTCGCCGTTCTCTATTGTACACGTTTAAAGTTTAAATATTCCCCTGGGTCGTTATTAAAATATTTACAAAATAGTTGAAAGTAAACCATGTGCGTCTGAGACGACGCATAAACTTGGTCGCCTTGTCTAATGAGTAACTGATTTGAGATTTTTTTAGTACAAATCATTTTCCACTGTATAATATCGATAAGTTTGACGAAATATTCGGCTTCAAGTTATTTGTACAGTAGGCCATGATCGGTGTACTAAATTTCATTAGTAAAATTAATGAAAATCATTTAGATTTTTTCTTGCTCGAGTTGTATGTTCAGAACAATCAATTTTTGAATAGTACGGTTAGGTTTGGTTACCGTTACAGATTACCTACTTATTCTGTATGGCTTATAGAATTTCGTTCATTATTTTTCTTTTATTAAGTAAAATAAATAATAATTGTATATATTATGTTTCAAAAGCCACTTTGTCACAACAACGTGTTAAAATTTTAGTTGTTTTGGAAAAAAAAAGTGCGTTGTCTATAGTTAGAGTTTTGTAATGCTTCTCGATACGAATATCAAAAAGTATTAAGAAATTTGTAGTTGTTCAAGTTGAAACCAATTCAGGATGATGGATATTGTAAATAATTTAAGACTTTTAAAATTATAAGTTTAAATTTATTGTACATGGAAAGTATAGGTAGACAAACTGCTACAGAGATGTATTTTGCTTGAGTATAGTAATTCGTCTGGAATAGCCTTAGATTCTACTCCTATTTATATGGATATGGTAATCTGTGTAATGTGTTATTGTGTAAGTTGTGTTGAATTGATGGGCGGACGCTACAGCGGACGCACATCGTATGATTATTTTAATTGGTATTATTTTGGCAATATAATATTATAAAATGGCAATAACATGTTTTTCCCAAATAGCTTATCTGAGCGGAACGGACTCTAAGTAGTTTTGATATATATATATATTTGTAATATAAGTTAATCACTATGCAGGTGCGCTCTGTACCGACCATGAGTAAGCTTTCGTATAAGTATGCCAATGCATGACTCAGAGTGCCATCATTATAATATGAGTAATATTATGCTTAGTGTAGTTGTGTAAAGGGTGTGTGAAGGTTATATCATAACAGTTTACAGGTTGTAAACTATTAACCGGGGCGGATGGCGAGACAGTGATTGCTCTGACAGCATGCAAAGTTTTAGGTTACTTCATCTACTTGATCAATTATTCTCATGTGAACTTAATGAGGAATGTGAGTTTGGTCCAATCTGATAATATTGTACTTCAGTCGGTCTTCAGTTGTCAAGAAAACAATAATGTCATACTGGCCGTTTCTAAAAAGTTATAATATATATTTTAGGCACTATAAGCTGCACTTGCTTAGTTGTCCTTCCACGTTCAACAAAGCAACCATTCTGGCTGTTTTTTTTGCAAGTTCAATAAGTATGTGCTTACTTAAGTTGTTTATTACTAGAGATCGGATTCTTATGTTCTCATACAAAAATTGTAGTACCTATAATTTTTTTATGTATTCAAAATTTAAGGAATATGCTCCAATATTTCTTATATTCTAAATTATGTTTCTTCTGACATTTTACTGGAAGGTTAAAATTTTCTTTATAAAATGTATATTAAATAATAATATGTATTATCCATGAATTTTTATTTATGAATTATTTCTAATAATTTTTTAATGTTAAAAGTGCCAAATAAATTGGCAATATCAAATTTCTTTGGTGAATATCTGATTTCACCTCAAATGGTTCAGACATTTGTATTACTTAACATAATATAGTATTCTTAAAACACATTCGTATTAGACCAATATTATTCCTCAGTATAAATATTAAGTGTGCGTCTTATTAATTTGTCTTTACCTTTTCATTATTTGTCTTACTACAAAAACATGGGATCTATGGTTGATTTTCCTTTTTTAGAATTGCACTTAACTTCCAATAATATCTCTAGCACTAATTCATATATTTGTTATTTTTAATAGTACCGTCTTAAAAACTTGGTATTATACATCTTATGGAGTTATCATCTGTAGTTCTTTCTCATTTTGACAAAATTTCTCATTTTATTGATAAGAAAATTAAACAAAGCTGTAGTTCATTTATTCAAAATACTTTATGTTTTCCATACGACTCTGTTTCCGTTATATTTATTTTTATTTTTAGGCTGACACGTACGAAATTCTGTCGTAATGGAGGAGGAAAACGATATGCTTGAAAAATTTCCCTTGTTATTGCCAAACACTAATTGCACATCATGGAGCGGTTATATATTTTTAAAAGTGAGTATGTTATAATTAATCTATTAGACTTCAAAATTTTAAATTGATAAATATAATATGGACTACAATCTTTTGACTAATAGTTACATTTTCAATATTACATTTTAAAAAGTTTTTAGTTGTTTTAAAATTAATTCAAAATATTACAATTTTATGTTTACCTAATTTACATTAATCAGCCTTAAATACAATTTATATTATTATTGTTTTCTCATATATCTATTAATAATTATAAAGTAATGAATATAAAAGCATTTTGTCTGTCAAGAGAGCATGCCATGACCCAACGAAAGTTTACCATTCTGTGCATCCCCGCAGAATAATAAATCATTTTAATTATTTAAAACGTTTATATGGTTTAAACTCTTAAATTAGTTTTGTCAAATGTCAAATTTAAAAAAAAAAAATTTTAATTGGCCAATATTAATAAATATTTTTCAGACACAGAGCGTATTTGTTAAACTCTTATGCCCACGGTTTCCTTCTTTGGAAAATTTAAGTTTGAACATTCTTCGAATCGACGATGTTAATTTACAACATTTTGAATTAGAAAAAATCGTAAAACAAGTAAGTATTTGTCCTTAGTTAAATATTTTTATGTATGTAGTTTTATCTTGTTGATTTTGTTATTCTATCCTGAGCACTTGTTTACCGCAGATTTTTTTTAGGTATAATAAAAAATGTATAAAATATTTTTTTTGCTTATTACTGATCAAATTTATTTTTTCAGACAACAAAACAAACTGGCAGTGTTCCTGAATTTTTGTCGAGATTGACTACTGTCTTGGTAATTCTTTGTTTATTTTTATTATTAGTAATACATTTTTTTTTTATTATAAAATTATTAGAAAAAAAGCATACTGTAGGATACAAGAAATAATCTTCAACCATTATATTTTAATAAATTTTAAAGTATCTTTTTTTTTAAAAAACATTTTTTTTTTTTGTCTTATGATTTACCCATTTAATGGATAGTAATAAGAAATGCCTAAATTTTCAGATCTCATTAAGGAGAATTTAAATCCTGAATTAAGTGACAAATTTCAAAGTTTGTCTAATGTGTATTGTAAAATGTGTCTCACTGTTTTAATGTTTTTGAATTTTGATTTTACAAGAAATATTGAAGTCGTTGGCAAATAACGTGGCCTGTATTGAACACCATCACCTAAAATGTATTTATCTGAACAGAAATTTACCCCTTAGACCTGAAGTTTTCTGTTATGAAGGATGTTTTCGATACATTTTAACATTTTTCTTTTGTCAATTACTTCGGACTTTTGGATTTTTATTTTGTGTCTCCATGCTGTATCAAAAGCTTTGACTATATTTAAACTAACTAGTCCTAGGTTTTTTTTACCCTGTTGATGGGAGTTTATTTTATCTTGTATTTTACTGAGAACATCAGAAGTTGACCTATATTTCATAAATTTACTTTGAATAGGGTTGATGCATTGTATATGTTCGATGTACCAGACTATTCAAAAATGTATAATGTTTTCTAGTATTCTACACATGATTTTAAGTAATGTAATAGGTCTATAATAAACCTTCAACATGAATTTTATTTTATCCAGATGACCTTATTTTGTTTTTTTAAGTTAGTTGTTTATTTTCATTTTGTTTAAAAATAATAATTTGTTTATTGTTTGGTTTTTGTGTGGTATAATATAATCAGTTGTTACCGAACTGACTGTTACAGTTGACAATTGAGCCTATAGGTTTGTGGTTTCTGTTTGATTTAATTGACTGACAGTTTGTATGTTTTCTACAGTGTTATCAGTACTAGTAGGTGTTGTTGGGTGATATGATGTTGTGTCACGTGAGTTAGACTCGTCTTCATTATTTGTCTTGATCGTATTGAGGTAAACACGTGGACTGGGTTTTCACTTTTTTTGGTACATTTAAAAGTGCTTAAATATTGTGTCATGGTTTGGTTTTTAATAGAATTTAAGACAAGTAATAATTTAATGTTACAATTACTATGTCTTTAACAAGTTGTTCATTTTTGCAGGACTGTTCATTGAGCTCGACTCTTCCCGATGTCGCTCTACTACCTCTTAGAATCGATCACGATAGATTTTGTGCAATTATTGGAGAAATTAAAAATGTCGTTTTTTACATTGACAGTATAGCAGAAGATTTGAGTCATATCAAATTTACAGTGAATGATGAATCCCAACGTAAACATTTCATTAAAGTTAATGTATCAAACGACTATCCGATGATCAAAAAGCAACCTATGGAATTTGACGCAGTAGTTCCATCTGTTATCATGAATTCACTGTTGAAAGTAAATGTTATTACAACCAACGATTAGACTGTGTAATAGAAATTGAATTAAATATTTCTTGGTTTCATTTAGGTAAATACTATTGTTGAATTATTCGATGAATTTAAAAAAGGTGTATCATCTTTGAACGATTTTTGGAATGTTCACGAAGACATTTTGAAGACTTGTAATGTTATAGATTCTTATACGTTGGCCGACGTGTGTTTCAAAATTCCCATTGGTAAGTGAGAAACTATTTTGAAAATAAATTTCTTTCTTTTTTAATAATTTGCACCCCCGCTTAAAAAGTGATACAATTGAAAACATGCCATTTTCCAATAGAGTCATTTAAACAAGTACAATATTTTGTTAAATTTTTCGTAACTTCATTAATTATTCAATCTAAAACTGAATCCTTGTAAAACTTAACAAATTAAAATTATAATAACATAAATGATGTGACTTAGTTAATAGGAACCTTTTTTTTCATTACATCAAATCCGGATTCAATTTGAGTTGTTGATATCAACCTAAAATATTACAAAAACCATAGAATATGATTATTTTTTACTAATGTTAGCAAATCTTTCTTTTTATTTTCTTTAATTTTTAAAGGCCCTTTATATACATGTTTTATATCTGCTGGGGTTGAATTGTCGAGTTAACTTGACTATTCTAGTTCAATTTAACTGTCTGAAATCTTCCGAATATGAACTTCTAAAATAAAAAGTCTGAATTTAATTATTCTTAACTATCCACACCTTCACAGGATGAATCTACACCTGAGTGAAACTGAGTTTAAGTTCATCTGTCAGTGACTTAATTGCCAAAAACTCTAAATGTATCAACTTAAACTCCACGATTTCATTTTTATTGATGACAGTTCGAATTGGACGATTGTTTATATCACGAATAGCTTTAAAAAAATGTTAACACACGAACCCGAGCTTCATTTAGCTCATAGTAATATGCGTTGTTTAGCTTACGATGATTTTCAGCTATCGAATATTGTTGGCTTAATAGATTAGATAGATGCAGGTTGCTATGTAACTGCGTTATTTACTCAAATTACCCAACGCCCAATTAAAAAAAAAAAAATACATTCTGTCTTGAGTCTCATCAATTTTGAAATACATTTTTGTTTGCACTCATTACCGCAAGGAGGACGTAATTTTCTGCCATCTAATTTTCTTTTTACTCTTTAAAGCTGAAGTATAACTAAATATCGGTTAAACTTTTTTTTCTTGTTTGACCATTTATTAGAATTCGCTTTCCTCTTCTTTTTCTAATTTCAATGGTAGCAGAACTGCAAGTTGAAAAACTACTAGTTGAAGAATCGATGGATGAAGCTTTACTGAACTTTTTCGGAATCAGAATCATAAAATTCACTGCATTCACTTTTTATTGGTAAATTTATGTAGTTTACAGATTATTTAAATAGATATGCCATAATAAACTGGTAAATCATGTTTTTTTTAAAATGATTTATGACAATTTATAAGGGGGCTGCGATATTTGGTTATCTGTATTACACTATCATATTTTCCATAAGAAGAAAATGGCATGTAGGTATTTCTAATAAAATATAAAGTCATTATTGTTTTTATTTTATACTTGTAAATTTAAAACTAAATCTCGTTAAGAAATCGATTGTAGTGCTATGAACCCCCTAAAATAATCTCAATTCAATATCGTATCACTGGGTGTGCCTAGCTTGTTTTGTTTTATACAAACTGAATAAAAATATTATTTTTTTTAGATAAACACGTGATTGTAAACGTTGAAGTCGATCCGTTGAATCCTCTGTGCTGCCCCGATTTTAAGTTACAAGGTCAATGTGAAGACACTCAGAAGTTTCAACAAAGACTCCATGAAATCAATCCAGTGAGTATTCAATACGATTAATATTTTTTTTTAATATTTATAAATTTAAGTAGTAAAATAATTCCTGTACACCGTTAACCCTTTTATATATTTTCAAATTATTCTCAGTGCTTGGAAGTCGATTTAAAATTTCTCGTTGTAGGTGTCATCTGATTTAAGTTACTTATAAGATTAATACTTATCAAGTAAATCGGAACATTTTTGACAGACTCAAAATTCTTTGACATATTTTTTACGTTAAATTAGTTACAGTAAAATAAAAATGTTTTAAATGAATATTTTTTTTGCACCCATTCTGGTTATAGTATTAATGAAATTTTACATTTGTGTTAAAATTATAAATACCATGTTGTCCTAATCCTGAATATGTAATAAAATTAAAATGTTCCTATTTGTTATTTGTAGATATCGATTTGGAGTACTTATAAGAGTTTTAAGGATAATGTTGTGGAAGTGTTTGGAGTGGAGATGATCGCTTCTCAGTACGAAGAAATGCCGGGACCGAGTAACGAATCTAGCTATTGTTTTATATGTTACGACGAGTTAGACGCAACGTCAAAGAAACAGACCAAAGTATGTGTCAACAGCAAATGCGACGCTGTGTATCACATTACTTGTATTTGTGAGGTACGTTTGTATATTGTTATAAAATCAGTTTGGTGTTGGCTTTATTCTCTAATGTTGTTATGTGTAAGATTGCCGTTAGTTAAAATTAAAATCGTACATGTCCGCCTAGTCACATATAGTGGAAAATCCCAGACAGACTAAACTAAATTTTGTACAACTTTTCAAGATTTAATACAATACATTTATTTTTATGCTTCCCAATCCTTTAAGGCAAGTCGCAGCTTCTACTACAACTTCTGTAGCTGCATTCCTTATTGGTTAATATAATAATTTACTGAGTTCTTACTTTTTAAAGGTGAATCATTTCTCTTCGTCTCCTATTGTGGTTGACCACGTTTGATGGCCATGCGTTTGACATTTGGTCTGAAGTAACAAGTGTACAGATTTTGTTTTAGTTTTCCATGATTATTCAATTCTGGAACTAGGCATTTTATTCATAATGGAATAATATGCTCTATTGGCCACGTTTTTATTTTGTCTATCATCGGATATTTACCCCTGAATACTTTCAAGTCTTCTAGTTGTTCAAACACAAATTGTTTTTTATATTAAAATTCTTACGTCCACTGGGCGTTGGGACATAACCCTGTTTAAGAAGTTTTGAATTACAGATATCGAGTTCGAAGTAAATTCCCCCAATGCTGTTCAGAATGAATTTCTATTGATACTATCGCAGGCCTGTTTGTAGCCCGTTTGCTTACAAGTGAAGATCTTCGTTGTATTCGTAATATTGTTCTATTATAGGTCGAATTTCTTTTCATAAGTTCATATTGGTATTCCCCAATACACTAATTTACTGGTATCTAAACGGCAAATTCCTTGATAGTTTTCAATTGTGTCCGTATGTTTTTATTAGTTAATATATATGTTTAATTAGTAGTTAAGTGCTGTTGTTATACTATACAACAGAATACAAAACAGAAAAACAAAATACAACAAAATCGTTTTAATAAAAATCGTTAAAAACACTTTTAAATCGTTTGACCATTTATAAATTAACTAGCGAAATTTCCTGCTAAATAAGTTTTCATATCGATTACCTAATAAATTATTTGTTTAAAACATCATTTGTATTATGAATGATTATAATATATTACATAATTATTTAGATTATAAAACAAAATATTTTGATTCTTTATCTGAAATTGTGAAAATGTATAAATTTGTGAGTGGTAAGTTTTCAAGTGTATTTTGTACTAGTATTAGAAGCATAAATGTGCATTTTGATGAATTCCTATTGTAGTTGAATGGTGAAAACTCCTGTTGTAAATTAGATGTAACCGAAACTTGGCATAATATAGAATATTGCCGTTTTAAGATTCCTGGTTACAGAATGTTTTTCTCAAGTGTTAAAAGAAACTAAAATGATGGTATAATTGTTTTCATTAGAACGAATTTATGTGTAGAATTTACTGTTTATAAACTCACTGTGGCGAATTTCTTGAAATTAAATTAAACTATAAACAGTACTACTACAGCTATGATATGTGTTTACAGGTCCCCATCCAGTGACATTAGCGATTTTTTTACCATTTTAGGTAATTTACTTAACGATGAAAATAATACTATAGGTTATCATATTTTAATTGGGGATATGAATATGTGGACATTGTGGGAACGAATTCTATTAATAATGAGTGTCTAGATAAGTTATCAGAATATGGATACGAATCACTAATAAACGTGTTTACTAAAATCCCGTCAGGTAATATACACTCTTGTTCAGTGTTGGGAATTATCTAGATAAAAAAATTGTATGTATCATCATATCTAGATAAAAAAAATCAAATCATCTTATTATCTTATTTAGATAAACAAATCGGTTATCTGAGGCTATTAATCTAGATAGAAATTTTAATTATTTTTAAAGTTATTTATTTATTCATGGGTTTTACCAAAACAGGTTTTGGAATCCGACGAAACGCACAATGTAGTCCTAGCCTAAATATTTTAGAACACCTAGGTCCTAATGAATAGTGATATAAGAATATATTATTAATACATTGGAGTTGGCTTGTTAGACAAGTCCAATATTCCATTGTAATCCAATGTATTTTAGTCGAATGTACAACGATATTTCGTTATTGGAGCAAACCCTTATGTCCTTCAACTTTGTAAAGAAGACAGAAGTGTTCACAGTTGACAGTTCACGTTTTCGCGAGTGTTTTTCTTATAATATCTGTTATAACTTATAACTTTATGGCAGTGTTGTGTTTTTTTTATTCAAATAATAATAATTATTCTTTTTAATTATAAAATATTTGGAAAATTCGATTTGTTCTAAACGAAGTCACGAGGGTGATCAATACCAAATTAACAATCCTGCTGAGTCACAACCAGCAGAGTCTACAAATGCGATCGATAAAAATCAAAATTATCTACTGGATGGCAAATATTACAAAGTACTGTCGGTTGACAGATCAAAAATTACTGTTAGCTGTCAAATTATTTTTATTATTTGTGTTAGATATATATATACTATTATATGTATAAACTTTGGAAAAATATGTAATATTTGTTTGCGGGTTTAAAAGTAATTCATTTGTAGCAGTTATTAAATTTTAATATTTAATTTTCTGCTAAGTATATATCACAAAAGTAAATAAGTATTTATATAAAAGGTTCACCCATACATTTTCGCATAACATATTTTATGAAGGTTAAAATTTAATTTATCTATTTTTCATCTAGATAAAATTGTATTTATCTTTATCTTTTAGCTAGATAAATGTTAAATGAATAATTTAATATGTTATCTAGATGATATATTACTCAATTATCCGTTATCTTATCTAGATAACTTTATAGTTATCTTTTCCCAACACTGCTCTTGTTTAGACCATATTATTGCCGGTATACAGGGCCGTACTTACCTCAAGACCACCTTTCAATTCTTGCGTGCATTTTTTAAAGAGATGATATCTTGATATATATTTCTTCACATTTTTCATCCTATTCTTTTTTTGTGTCGAATATTTTGTTCTATCTAATTCCTGGACAAATTGTTGAATTTTCGGTTCTATATCTTCCATTTGTAGCAGTTATCAAATTTTAATATTTAATTTTCTGCTAAATATATATCACAAAAGTAAATAAGTATTTATATAAAAGGTTCACCCATACATTTTCGTATAACATATTTTATGAAGGTTAAAATTGAATTTATCTATTTTTCATCTAGATAAAATTGTATTTATCTTTATCTTTTAGCTAGATAAATGTTAAATGAATAATTTAATATGTTATCTAGATGATATATTACTCAATTATCCGTTATCTTATCTAGATAACTTTATAGTTATCTTTACCCAACACTGCTCTTGTTTAGACCATATTATTGCCGGCATACAGGGCCGTACTTACCTCAGGACCACCTTTCAACTCTTTAATGCATTTTTTAAAGAGATGCTATTGTGTTATAAGCTTCTTCACTTTTTTCATCCTATTCTTTTTTTGTGGCGTATCATTTGATCTGCTTAAAAGAGTCAATTCCTCGACATATTGTCGAATTTTCGCATCTATATCTTCCATTTCTTCATTCAAAATGTTTTGGATCCTTTAAATGTACAAATTTCAAAAAAATTAAAAAGATGCTCAAACCAGGTTTTTATGAAATAGATAAGCATGCAAAACCAAATAGTTAATACTAATCTCATTTAGAACTGTATTCGAGCCATATAAGGTTAGTAAGTACTTATGTTCTAACATATTTTATTTTCTTATATTGAAAAGTATATTTTCCAATTGTATTCAAATTGAGGGGAAGTAGTCATGTGACTAACAGTCCCCCCTCATTGGTTCTTTATATATAATATAATGTATTTAAATGTACATTTTTTGAAAATATAAAAATAAATTTGAAAATGTTTTAAAGTTTTTGTGGATTTTGATCATTGTTTATCATTAATTAATTTTTAAGTCAAATTGCACCCCTGTCACCCCATCGAATCTTATAGATTAAATACGACGTGACGGTACTTTTGTAGAGGATTATATCAAATTTAGTTGGCCAATTATATTTATATCCAGTAACCCACCAAATGAAATTCAATGAAAAATCTTTCATAGGTTTTGAACATTGTTTGTCAATAATTAATTTATTATGAATTATGAAACCGCTGACAAAATGTCTAAAAAGACTTACTCCTCCAATTCGATTTCCTGTGGTGACGGCAAAGCGTCCCTTGCAGTCTGAAATATATAAAAAATGAAATAATTAGTGTAAACTTAATGTGTAATAATATACTATTCTATGTACGCTACTAGTAGCTGGCAGGCGACCGGATAGGTCACAGATTCTGAGTACTGAACACGCTCACGGCGGGTGGAGCAGATATATTTTTTGAAAAAGAAATGGACCTGCTAATAAAGCCAGTGTCCGGTGCTGCTTAACGATTAAAGTGAAAAATGGTTTAAATTAATAAATTTGAAAGTCTAGAGGTTATATTCGGTTAAAAAGCGAGTGTCCGGAAATGTGTTGGCCGTGTTAACATTATAAATCGGCCGTATTAAAACAGTGATAACATTATATTCCTCGCCGTCGGCGGCAGTATTAACAGTAATAGTAGTAGGTAACATAATACGTCGCCGTGCGTCGGCCGCGTTTATTCAACAGCGATAACATAGCCGATTTAGTAATAAGAGCGATAACAGCAAAATTCATGGAAAATAGCGAGCACGGTCATGGAAGAGAGCCGTTAGCATTTTGGTATTATAATTACATAGTGAATTGAGTTTACACAATTAACGTAAGTTTTCTCTGGCCCAAAACCATTTTTCATCATTATTTGCAAACTGACCTACACTTTGTTTTGTTATATATAGCTGATATAACATTACACATTGTTTTTACCAAAAATCAAATCATATGAAAAAGAACGCTTTATATTTTCATTGATTTTAGGTTTTTTAATTGGGTTCCCACTAAGTTTGCGTCCGTGATATATATTTTTTTTCGAGGGGAGGGGGAAGAGGAGGAGTTGTTATAAGAGTTATTGCAA